ATTGATGATATCGTGAAAATGTTGGTGGCGACAATGAGCAAGAGGCGATGACGAGGAGAAGATATGAGCACAAGGAGATTTGACGAAATTGAATCATTTGAAATCAGAAAAAGGTGTTGTCCCGAGGGCCCCCTCGGGACAAAAGTGCCCGAGGGGGCCCTCGGGACGTTGTTATATAGCTAGGTTTGATAGAAGTGGAAGCTGATGGTGCCTTCGGGATGTCAGTAAGTCATGCGCCCCCCTCGCTTCGGCGAGTTCTCGGGTGGTAGGCAAGCTTCTTTAAACTCTGTTACTAACGGTTGAGTCATCTTTGCTGATATTCGCTTACAAACACGGGCCTATGGCGGGCCGCTTAGCAATCAGTATCACGTCCCTCCAATGAGGGCGTGTCATTCTACAAGTTCCCATAGCAAGTTCTTTCTCAGTCGAGTCCTTGCTGACATCGCGCCTTACTGCGCCCCGGTCGCTCGTCCCTCGCGACGTCCGAACCATGCTGACCAAGCGGATCTGAAGAGCCTATAAATATAGGCGAAACTTGGGAGGTGGACGCCATTCCACCCAAGTCATCCAAGTCAGCCACAAGTCCTTCAGCAGGCAGGTCGACGCCAACACCACCTAACCCTCACGAGTAAGGCTCATGTAAGTCAACAGTTATGGCCGGCGCAGAATGTGTGCGTCCAGGAAGCACAACCTCACGGGCAAGGCTCATGTAAGTTGAGAGTAGTGGCCGGTGCAGAATGTGTGCGTCCAGGAAGCATGCCCTCACAAACAACACTTGTTAGAAAGCCGCCTCCAACTCTTTCCATCCATAGTCTGGCATTATGCGTCCGGGACGTACATGCGCGACCCCTAGGCCTTTTCTTGCCCTCTTTCTTGCACCTCTTCCTGTGTCTTCCCTACACTTGCTCTTTGTACACTCTCCCTACAGCTTTCCCTGCGGCCTTTCCTACGGCCTATCCTACACCTTTCCTACAGCCTTTCTTATGATTTCTCCTACAGCCTTTCCTACACCTTTTCTACGGCCTTCCCTAGGGTTTTCCCTAGTGGAATCCCCTACCTAGTCTTCCCTACCCAGTCCCATTAACCCTAAGTGATGGAAAAACATGTTGATGATGATCAGTGGAAGCAAACATTGACGAGGCGGATGGAAGAAAACATTGACGAGATGGGTGGAAGAGAACATTGACGAGATGGGTGGAACATTGACGATGAGAAGACAATGGTGATGGAGGGAAGAGGCATGTGACAAGTTTTGAGAGTATCATTGATGATATCGTGAAAATGTTGATGGCGACAATGAGCAAGAGGCGATGACGAGGAGAAGATATGAGCACAAGGAGATTTGACGAAATTGAATCATTTGAAATCAGAAAAAGGCGTTGTCCCGAGGGCCCCCTCGGGACGTTGTTATATAGCTAGGGCATGGGGCGCGATGATGTAGACAGATGGAACGCAGGAGGGGCGCGCGCGGTGCTCACCGAACCTGCACTGAGGAAGATGCCCGTGCCGATGGTCCCGCCGATTGCTGTGCGAGCGTGAGCGGGGACGATCAACGAGCCAGAGAGCGTGCGCAGACATACCGATCATCATCAGATGGCGGCTGCGCATCCCCCGCTGCGTCGTATGTGCCCCGTCCGCGCCGCTCACGAGAACCCGCTTCCACCATGGGCGGCCGTCCTCAGCGTCGGCGGAGAGCGAAGCGGCGTCATCCCCGGGCTTCTCGGGGTCGCTGAGGTCCGCCTTGGAGTCGGACGATAGGCGGACGGATGCGGCGTCAGCATCGGCCATGGCACAGTGAGCGGTGCGGGTGTGCGCGCAGGTGGTTCGGGCGCGCTAATCTGCGAAGCCTAATATAAGGCAATGACAGCGCCTAGAATTGACGGGTGCTTGTGGTCGTCATGAGCGAGTGATATGGCGCACGCAGGCACCCCGTCCTTGGTCGCGTGCATGCAGGGATCTTCCTCGCTTCCGCCGCGCTGCTGTGCACAGCTTGCACGGCCGGCCGACCAGTGGCTATGTACATGCAGTGGTGGGTTTTGAGCCAAACCGCCCGGACGCACTAGGTCCAGGTCGTGGCAGCACATAGCTGCATCAGTATGATACAACACACTGGTTAGTGGGTACAAGAGGAGGTGTACTCTACTTACGTGTGGACAACATGAGGCCAGTCGTCAAGAGGAATTAGGACAATATACACATCGCTCAGTGACGAGTCTGTGTAGAATGCGCTGACGCGATCATGTGCTCATCATGTTACATTGCGTGTTAGTTGTTCGCCGCGCTCAACAAAGCTGACCGCAGTGTCCTGTAACGCATCCGGGAGGCATTGAACGCCTTTTATGAAAAGAAGGTTCATAGTCTGTAACATTCAGGTCGAAGAACACCACAGGCCAAAGCCAATTCTTTGCACCCGCCATGACCGCTTTGCATGGCATTGCGGTAGCATCCAAATTCTGCGTCTGACTCGATTACAAGTACATTTCGTTGGACCCTGCGTCACTCGGGCGTCCCTCCGCCCTCGTCGATCACCCCGCGATGTGCACCGCACCCCTCATGCCGCCTCCATGCCCCGCGGCATCCGCGCGCCCGCCGGCGGCGGGTTCTCCTCCCGGAACTCGCGCGCCATGTCTGCCATACACACCCAGTGCACGTTCGCGTGCGTGTTAATCCACTCGATAAAATGTTCCTGCGTAGCACGTCGCACGTCACCGCCGTGTCCAATTTGGATTCCGCGCCGTCGCCGCGCACAAACACAAACGCGAACGGAGACCACTCACCAGCATGAGCAGCACGTGCAGGCGCCCGCTGACGTCGGGGTGGATCGTGATCGGAAAGATGAAGTTGTCTTCTTCCCTGCGGCAGGCCAGCATGTGAGCGGGTTTGGCGGCGCGCGCATTAGGGCAAGCAATGCACCTGTACAAGTACGTGAACCTGTCCTTCCACAGCTGCTCGACGTCCCGTGCGTTGACCCACCACATCGCCGCGCCACCCCTCAGCCGAGCCCTCCGCGCTCGCGCACACACAACCACGACGTGCACTCACCCAGCCGTGCGAGTTTGGTGCCGACTTGATGAACCTGGCCCGCGGCCCGTCAGAGGAACCCGTGCGCCGCATAGCGCGGACACTCACATCATCGGCGGCAGGTCGTCCAGGTACCTGCACCCCGCCCGATGACAGTGCGGCCACGTCCGCAGCCCCGCGCAAGACGGCAGCACGCACCAGTTCCCGGGCAGCTCCACTGGATTGATGTCGCGTCGCGTTGGTGAGGGGCACGGCGGGTAGATGGTTCTTCAATAGACACGATGGAGGATGCAGCGACGAATGGAAAGGAAGCGCGATGTAACAAACGCGCGAGCGGCTAGGACGTGGCATTTGACCTCGCACAGGCTGCGCGCCGTCTTGTCCGATTCTGCACTGACGTGAATGCCGTCAGGATGTCTGCTCATCAAAGACACAGTGAGCAGGAAACATACATACGTGATTCCCACTCTCCCCAGGCGCACCGGCGGGCTCACGCCCACTCATTGTGAGCGGGCGTATTGTGGTAATACTGAAAGTCTTTGCTGTATTCAACGTCGTAAGACGTCGGTTGCGTAGTGGCCGATCGCGAGCCAAAGGACATGGTAAGCAATAGGTTTGTCCGCGACGATAGTGACCTTACCTCTGGGCCAACCAGACGACGTGAACGCGCCGTCCAGATAACGCAGATGCTGCGCCGTTGCTGCAAGGAAAGTCCTATTCTTGCAGCTCCATGCTCCAGCCATGTCAGTGAGTCGCAAAGGGTAGTTCTGACCTCAATATCTCGTAGCGGAAGGACGGCCCTTCCGTACGCTGTGCTTGATGGAGGGGTAAGGCATCAGGGACGACGCAGCTTGTTTGCTGTGTGCCTCGTAACAGTAGCCTTCGGGGGACAACATCGACGACAGATGTTGCGCCAAAGCCACTGCTGCTGACCTTCCAGCTGGACTTGAAGAGAGGGATGGACCTCTTCGAACCATTCGCGCAATTCCACGGGAGTAGCGGGCTCGGTGATGGCGTATTCAATGACGGTAGCTCATACTCATCGTTCGGAGGCAGCAGCCGGCGGGGCGGTTTCTCCTTCTAGGCATGTTCCATCCATTGTATGTTTGCCTTACATATGGTTTGTTGTCATGCTCGCAATCAATCTTCCTGCATTCCAGATCTCATGCCTATTTGTGAACGTTGAGTTGTATGTTCTTTATCTCTATTAGTTCAACACTCACATTAAGGCTGGTTTAGTACATGAACCCAACAAGGCGAGCTTCACTGCGGCTGACGAGAGGCGAAGCTCGACCTGGTTGGGGAACATGAGCCGCATCTGTGCAAGCGAACAAGGAACAATAGAGGTAGCAACCGGTAAACGCGATTCATCAGAGAGCAACAATAGCTATACACAGCAACCAGACAACAACGGCAGTGCGATACCGGATGAAATGAAAGAAATCAATCTAGACAGCTTGTGCTACCTTATCATGCTCTTCCGCTGTTTATGAGGTCGACTGCTGCTTTGCATGAGCAATCATCAGTGTAATCCAGTTCTCGAATGTACGAATGATCCTTACGGGATGATAGCTGCTACTCAATATGAACATCGGCGGCGAAGCATGTTTATAACATCGCGAAGCTGCGAAAACAAGATCGAGTGTATAAGCCTCCTGAGAGGCTAAGAAGAGACGACTGACATACCTCAAACATAATGAGAAACATAGGAATACCGCAGTTGCGCCAGTATTGAATGTAGGAACGGACCTTCCGTGTGATGAGCATCGATAATTGTGAGCTACAAATAGATAGTGGACGCACAAGAAGATTCGCGCGTGCACGATCCTCATCCACGGGGTGAAAGCGATGAGCTCGACTACGGCGGATAGTTCTATACGGTGGCATTGAAGTCGGAATAAGTGCGAGGATGGACGATGGTTTGGCGGACTGCTTGCGAAGAATTTATACAAACGAGGGGATAGTCATGCGTCCGTTAGGGAGCAAGCGCCACGGTTCACTCACCTGCGCTCTAAACACGATGCTCCCTTGCTAAGCTAAGATGCCATCTAGAACATTTCCCGAAGCTCAGATGGCCTCGAGGATATGAAGTGGTCGATACGGCCACTTCGAATGGGTCCATGACACAGAAACAATAAGCAATGGTATGGCAAGTGGCGGTAGCGGCAACCTCGAGTTGGATTTATCCCATTGGGGAAGAGACCGCGGATGGGTGTTGGCCAAACTTCGCGTAAAATGCCATGAATAACACGAGGTTTACGAAAGAATTTGCGCTTGCCGACATGTCATACATCCTTGTTCCAAGGATGCAAGATTGCAAGGCGTAAGAACGTCGCGTACTCCTTTGCTGCGGCCAGTCGAGGCTGCTGGTTAGTCACCGGTAAGGAACAGATAGAGTATGACATCTATCGCATGTACACTCTTCACCAATCGCTTGAACGGCTAGATTTAGAATAACATGGGCGATGTAAAGGCTGTATAGAATCCAGACAAGCCTCATGGGCACCAGCTTGACGTGTTTCGCGGTTGAGACCTTCTTTGGGACGCCGGAGCCAGAGCGGTCACAGCAAGGGGAGCGAGTTGTGTCGCATGTTCCGCCAGTATATACGGTAGTCATGTATCACCTGTCAGCAAATCCTGTTGTAGTAGAACTGGTGTACCATATACTCCGTCACACAAAAGGTAAGCCGAGCACTTACTTAATCCCGACTGGTTCTTGAAGAGCACTTCGCCTGCATCATATTGACACATCCCACGAACCAATGGGAGTTCGATTAGATATATTGGGGCGCTGGCAGAGTGCGACCATGACGTGTATTGCCATCACTATAGCCAACGTGTCAGACATGAGGTTCAAGGAAGAAGCAATGAATGAATCATGTCTTAAATGAGCTATTGAGCCGACGCGACTGTATAGAAAAATATGTATTAGGCTTCAGTGTGGTCGTAAGGTTCGAATCATATGTACCTTATCCCTATGTTGTCTGGAACAGCCCGTCATGCCGGTACATCCAGCGTATCAGGACACAGCGGTGGACACATGCATTAGCATGGTAAAACGTCGCAGCGGCCCTGTAGGTTCAGCCGGCCCAGCACATGCAAGGCGAACGCACCCGGCTCGATGTATCAGCATTGGGCTGCAGAGAATGTGGGAGGCTTACTTGACCCCAGAACTCCTCTTCCTCTCCACGCACCTGCTCTTCCGGCTATCGCACGTCGTGTCTTGCTCGTCGCGGGTGGATGAGAAACAAGCCGTCGTCGTCGCATACAAGGGATCGCGCGATCAGTCCGCGTTCATCATTTTCGATGTCTCTCGGTGTCTTCTCCATCCAGCACGGATTCCACCGCAACACCGACGACGTACGAAGCCGTGAAATCGGCACATACACACGCATTGTCCTTTCACATGGCCCCGTGTTCAACTTCGTACCTCAGTCTACCTCATGTGGGTCGCTTGGCCTCGCACGCTCTGCAGAGACAATCGTGGAAAGATATAGTATGAGCTACATGGTAAAAATCATCATCATCGCCCGCCTTCCGCTTTTCTGCGGCACACTGGACAGTTGTTATTGATCCTAGCCTTGACCATGGCGGTGCTATTTAATAATCAGATATCTTATATATTTCACCGTAGGTTTGCACTCACAACGCAATTTTCCCACCGATACCGTGGTGTCCACCGATACCCATTCCAACTAAACTATGGTCTAGTTGCTGCGCAAGTGCTTCGTCAGACGTCACGCAACTCACGTGGATGGCGTGTCGACATAGAAACAGTAACGCATGTCCGTGGGTATGCTGGTAAAGGGGGCGATTGCACATTGGACATAACGTTTGCGCTGTGCGAGGATCAACTTTGATATACAATAAACTCAGAACAAAAGCGCGCACCACTCAGGAAAAAACCACATGTTTGGTTGCGGTGCAATTGACGGGCAAGTTCCGCAGCGTCCCCGTTGAGAATGGTCTGGCATCCCTCAAGGAGCGATGCTTGTAGGTTGAAGTCGTGCAGGATCTTTATAAGCGCGCCCTTGAGCCCCGGAATCTCGAGTCCATTCTTAATCCGCCGGATGAGCCGGATGGGGTCAATCTCCGCGCCAACGTTCTCCAACAGGCCGCGAATGAAGGCTATAGAGGGGACAGCGTGAGTACTGCACAGTGCTGGGTGAGCGGAAGGAACGTACCTGGGCGTGTTTCGGAGTATTTGAGGAGATCCTCCCAGAGGTCGTCATCGTGCTGCTCCTTCGCAAAGTCTATTGCCTAGTGGGCAGTATATCAGCGGGCTTGCGTTAAGCATGCGGGTTTCACAACGTCATTTTACCCTATTAACGTCACCCAGTCGCTCGATGATAAGCGTGAGGGCCTTCTTGTTGTTGCCCATGCGCCCCAGTAAGAATACCATCTCAGGAACCATATCTCCATCGCTGCATATGTTGTATGCCTACTCCAGTCGTTTAGTCCGTGGCGCATAGCAAACTTGACCATCGCACCTCTTCTAAACTGTAGTGATTGCTCGCCCTCAGGAAGTCCAACAACCGGGTAGGTGCATATTCCGCATACAGCTTTACCTGGATTAGACAGTAAGTCACCGAAATGCAAAATGGAATCATTCATCCACACCTGCATATCTGCGAAGTCGGATGTCAACTGCGAGTCCCTGCGGAACAGGGCATCCAAGTAGAGATATAGGTAGTACGTTCGGCTCTGCAATTGCTGCACGACGCGCCCGATCTAAGCGATTCAGTAAAACGGCATGTCAGAGCTAGCAGACGTAACGAACATGGTCATACTGATTGGAGTACTTACAGGTATCGAATGAATATGATCAACAAGCAAAGTGATTGCAGCACTCTGCTGCGGGTCAACATCCACACCCAAAGTACGACGGCGTTCTATCAGTTCGTGGTCGAATTCGACAAGAAGTAGCGCCTGGTCCTGCACAGCCGTAAACAAATTATTCTCGCGGATGAGCTCAAACACATTCGGACGGCGGAGGCGCAGGAAGTAAGGGAGCGCCTTTCCAGGCTGGCGATTCATCGTATAGCTAGACACAGATCATGAGAATGAGAGGAAGAATGGCGCCAGATGAACATTACGCTTACAGCTCCGCGAGGCACTCCATGAGTACAACCGTCTCAGGCGCTGTAGTCTGCATAGATGAAGAGGATGGTGCGCGGTCAAGCTCGGCCTGTATGGCCAAAATGATAGTGGAAATGTCGTATATATCCTTGGGCCAGCTCCTGATTGTCTGAAGGAGCGCCTGCGCCACAAGCAGAGTTAGTCATCGATGTCAGGGGATCGAGCGAATAGTCACCTGTCGGTCCTGTGCAAGGTAATACGCAAGGATTACCTCGTACACCAGATGCCCTAACGTCGGCGAGTCGGTAGGCACATACGGGATGATAGCCTGAACATGTATGTCAGCATCATACAACATCAGCGCACATATCACGCACTTGTAACTGGCTCCTCTTCGCAAACAGGAATATCCAAGCTTCCCAGCGCTTCGTGTCCTGACCACACACCTTCGGGCAGAGGCTTGCGGCCTTAATGAAATCACCTGAGCATCCAACACATCAGCGCGCTGCTCGGAGTCGACAGATGAAGAGGCATCGCGCGCGTCACCTTGGCTAATGAGAGACTCGATGTACCGCTCTCCGATGCGAACCGCATCCACCGCATCCTCGCCCGGCCCCGCCGTCACGCCCGCCGCCGCCTGTCGCTCGATCTCCGCCAGAGCTTCTTCATACCGTGCTCGCTCAGTGAGCCATTCGACATGGTCACGCCAATCACGTGGGCGCACGACCACAATATCCTTCGGGCTTGACACGATGTAATACCGCTCCCTATGGCCAAACGCGCCCATAGATGCAGGCGAGGGAGCAGAGGATACGGCGTTGTCGACCTCTACAAGTACATAATCGTTACAGCCCCAGCGCTCGAAATCCGCAATGCCGAGCGCATCAGCAGCAAGCTCGTCGCCGCCACGAGAGACGATGCGCAGCTCGGGGCGCTCAGCGGCCTTGCGTGCCTGCGCAGCACGGTCCACAGCGGCCTCCTCGCCCGCGAGGAGCGACACGTCGGGCGGGGTATACGCAAGTAGAAGGAACGCAGTGAGCGCAGGAGCAGCGGGTGTAGCATCAGAGGCCGCTCGTATGTGCGCGGAGGCTTGCGCGTGCGCGTGCGACTGGCGCGAATGTGAGGAACGGCCAGAGCGGATACTGGCGGAGCTGGGCGCAAGCGTAGGGGAAATGAGCGGATGTGGGACGATACCAGCGGCCATACAGTCGAGCTGGAAGACGGCCGTGATTTCGACGATGAATGGTGGTGCGCCCGCAGACGCAGGAGCGACGGTAACGGGGCGTGGGCGCGCGCGCACGCGTGCAACTTTGATCTGGTCTGCCCAAGCAATGAGGAGCGTCGCATCGTCCTGCCAATGCAGCGTGCATTTGAAGAGGTCCGCACGCGGGCTGTTAGGGGGGCGATCAATAAAGGTGATGCGTGATTGTGAGACGGTGTCATAAATCTTCACGCCCTGTGTGTGCATTCAACGGTATATCTTTATCATACGAGTGAAGCGATACAAACCAGGTCGTTCGCCCAGGCGATGAGGTGGTTGCGCCATCGTGTCTGCCAGACGGGGCCCTCGCCGGAGTGTAATGTAGTCTCGTTGTATCGCAACCAGCCCTTCTCATGAAGCACAAGAGAGCCGGCCATGCCGCCGCAGACGAAGGCGCGTGTGCTGCTCTTGGCGAACCCGGGCTCTAGTGCGACGGTGCGAAGGGAGCGCTTCATGTTGAATGTCTGCGACTCAGGCGTGGATACGGAGTGCACAACGACCTGTCCTGGGAGAGCGAGGTCAGAGACATGGTTATCGAGCTCACCTTGGCATGGAGCCGAAGAGATGAGAAGGAGGAGGAATGGGACTCACCGTCGATCGATGCAGTGGCTACCCATTCTGCGGTCTCATCCATGGATATGTCCATGACTGCTGCGGAGTGCACCTGAAACGACTTGATAAGCTGACCACTGAGTTCGAGGATATGCAGCATGCCACTATGTGTTCCAATAGCCTGAAGACCCAACAAGTAGTCAATCAAGTATCAAATACGTGCGTGGGGAGGTAAGAACTTACAAGTCGCTGGTTCGCACACGCCATTGCAGACGCGGAGTCCTTTATGAGAAGTTTGGGCGCAATACCACCAAGCCGTTCATACTTGAGCGCAGGTTCTTCATCGTCATCCTCGTCCTCATCTTCGTCGATTTCCTCCTCGCCTGAACCTTCTTCGTCCTCATCCTCCCGCTCGATCCGCTCCCTGTCGTGCCCATTCACCCCAGAGTCCGTAGCATGATCGTCCACGTCAGTCTCAGAGCCAGTGGCTGATGATTGTCGCGACGTGCGCCCGTTAGTCCGAGCGTGGTGGTGTACAGACTTGTCGCTCATGGAGTAAGTGTCCTCGCCCGTGGCGTCAGGTGTGCTGTCCTCAGGTACAGCATCTGGCTGTTTCTCGTCAATACCGTTGGACTCGGTTGATGACATGCAAGCATAAGAATTTGATAACGACAGCTGTTAGCAGCAAGGGAGGGAGTGCGAAACATGCGCTGGTCTCACTTACGTCTGTAATGGGCGCTTGTGTACGGCGTTCCCAAATTGGAAGGTTTAGTGTTCAAGCTCTCAAGCGCTGAGAATTTACGAGTAGCGACTGTAAGGCATTCTCTGGTCTCTAACTTGATACTGATTGTGTAAGCAATATCCCAAACTCCATGGAAGTAATTGGTGTGGTATATATATTCCATTCCTGATAACAAAGACGTCTATCTAGTGCTTCTCTGCCGCATCTGCCTCTACATCGACTACTTCCACACCGTCGTCGTCGTCGTCATCACCGTCCGGAGCGTCCTCTTGCGGTAGTATTAGGTTAAGCACTACCGCAACAATGCCTGCGACAAGGACTAGGTACGGCCGTCTGCGTCAGTGCCCACATACGCACCACACATAAAAGGAGACACTCACACGGCGTGCTCAAGATGATTGTGATTGAGTTGAAGAGGCCCTGCAGGCCCTTATTCGGGTGTTGCACGCTGTCGAACAGGTACGTGAACACGTCCGGCACGAGCAGATCGCCAATGCCGAACGAGAGCGCTGCCGCAAGCACGAAGCGGTCCCGCCGCGTGAAGCGCGTGTATGAGAGCACTCGCACGCCGGACACAGCGACGCTCGCGAATAGGAACGTCGTCACTCCACCCAGTACCGGATCCGGGACTACACACCATGATGAGCTGTGCCGCGCGAGAAGAGATATGGAGGGCAGCTGACGTACTTGCAAGGAAGACGCCCGAGATCTTGCCCAAGACGCCGAAGAGAATGAGGAAGAAGCAGCAGAAACGACCGGCTGTGCGGTTTGCACAACGCGTGACAGCAATTACACCGTTGTTCTGGAAAGGACGACATGTCGGTGTGACGTTACAATGTGCGAGAATCAACATACCTGCGCAAAAAGGGACAGCGGCGCAACAGTGAACAAGGCGGAGAAAAACCCCCCAACACCATCACTCTATAATGCATAAGGGAAAACAGTCAGCCGTGCTGCGGAGCGGCCGCGATTAGCCGAGGAAGGCGCACCAGGACACCGCCTTGTATACGCGTGTCGAACTCCTCGCCGTCCACGGCCACGCGGGACACCTCTGCAGATGCCGTGATGTCACCAATGGCCTCCATTGCAACGGAGACTGGCAGAGGCCCGTGAGCACGTATAGTCACAGCTACGGAAGAGAAGCAACGTACTGTAGACCGCAAGCATGGGCAAAATGGCCGGTGGGTAGACGCGGATCTTGAATGTATGCACCCTGAAGGGCCGGCAGGTCAGACGCATAGGTCGATAAGACCGAGAGGGACATCATACCAGAGGAACGTAATCGCTGGCGCAGTGGTGATGCTGCTCCCATCGATATACCCTGCGGCACCCGAAACGATGCACCCGACGACGAGGCCAACAATGATCGAGATGTTCTTGAGGAATGGCGAACCGAACAGTTCTGTGAGAATGATGCTGATGAACGATAGGAAGCCAAGCCCAATCATCTCCGGGGAGCCCCAGAGTGCAGGGCGCGGGGCGCTGTTGCTCGGGCAGAGCTGGAACTCGCCGGTCGTAGGGCGCCCCTGGCAGTTGGAGCCCCCGCCCCAGTCGGGAATGCCCGACGAGCCGACGAGCGACGCGCCAATCATGAGGATCACGGTTCCGGTGACCATGGGCGGGAAGATGCGCTGCAGCCTACGCGCTGGAACGAAGGACATGAAGATCTCAAGGAATGCACAGATGAGCGATGTTCCTGTATGGCTTGATTAGGGGCATGATTCGTGCGACAATGCACGAGACGCACCCAGCACCATGCCGTAGGCATCTGGACATGGTCCTTTCGTGACGGTCCCGTCAGATGCCGTTGTTGATGGACATGTCCCATCGGCGTACATGGCGCTGAAGATCTGGACAAATGGTGAGTCCCGTAGAACCAGACACGGAGAAATGGACGCACGGCATCTGCGGTGCTCAGCGTAGAGAAGCTGGTTCCGACGACGGAGAGGAGACCGGTACCCAGGTAGTAGTTCTTGAATAGGTGGATGCGCGACATCTGGACAAAACTCAGAATACCTGCGGGGGAATCAGATACGGTTACACGACAGACTGGGAATGACTTACCGCAGCCTATGAGGGAGGCGGAGATCATGTACGCGGACATCTCAGCATCGAGGTTGAGCGTGTTGGCGAAGATGATTGGCGGGGTGATTAGCCCGGCGAGCATAGCGAGTGCATGCTGGAGGCCGCTGGTGAACGCGAGGAGGATGGGGAGCTCCGAGTCGAGGGCGTAGAAGGGCGGGGCTCGCTTGCGCTGCTTGCCCTTACTTCTTCGGCCCGGGGGCCAGGAGAAGGGGAGAGTGGGGGTGCAGAGCCAGGCATAGTCGTAGTCGCCCACCCAGCCATGCTTTGTCGTCACCTTGTCATATACCGCCGCTGCCCCGGCGCGGACATCCCAGCGCCGTGTTGCGTCGGCAACAGGGTCTTGTGTGGGCGTCGGTTGGTCCTTGACGGTGGAATGGATCGACATGTGCGCAAGAACTGGCGACGATGGCGGCTCACAGGGAGAAGCACGGCCCTGCAGAGGAAGGAAGCTAGCAGCGAGAAAAGGCAGCCCCGCTCGCTATCTCTCCCCTCTCCGTCAGCCTGACACCCGTCCGAAATTTGCATGGCGCGCAGAGATAAGCAGCGCGAATGAACCGTTCTGGCCACCGAATGACTCGTCTAGTCCCCACCCGGCCCTGACATAGAGCCCCGTGGTCTTCCTAAGCCGAGCGCGGATCGGATGCACAAATACACCATCCAACCATCGAGACGAGCCCCAGTTCGTGGACGTAATAAGCAGAAGTGCAAACGCGGGGTACGCATGCATCAACAAAGGCCGCGGCACGCACCGCGGCATTGCCATCCGCGCATGTGCGTTTCTCACTGACCAGTCGACCATGCAGGATTAGTCTTCGCAAATTGATCGGGTTCCTGCTCAGATTGTAAGCCGGCCAAGCTGTTGAACACCGCGCGATAGGATACTCGATACTGCCATCCGGCGTGGGAGGGTTGATCGCCGTTCATTCGAGCAGCCCTCAGACGCTGATGACACGGAGGATAGCTAGAATAGAAAATATACCGGGATCTATGCGATGAATTGGCCAATCAATACTATATGCATGACGGAATGCGCTTATCCGTTCTTGGCTCGCTCTACAAGAATCTGATAACAGAACGACGAACTCATCGAGTACGCACGATACAGAGGCTGCGACTCTCGTGAGAGGGGCGTCGACATTTCTTAGTGTCGCTGCCGTATCAGAGTACAAAATCCCATTTGACTAGAACACTGCTAACAAGAACACAGCATGCGGCAGTTGCGGAAACATCGACCGAGTGTGTCCGGAAAGGGTAAACTACTTCCTAAATAGGATACGCCGTCCTTTCGCAATTTATTCTGAACGACGATACAACAACGATGCTTGGGGACTCGGAGCCACAATGAAGCATTGATATTCCAAGCACAATTTACAATGCCGTTTAGTCACCTTTACACCAGTACTCGAACATGCTTACGATGTCATAGTCATCATGGCCTATCTCCTACATTTGACAGTGGGGGCGTTTCCATTACGCCGCAGTATATGAAGCACGAATAGAAACAATAACGATACAGTAAGATACAACAATCATCAGCAGGGCTACACCACACAGCGCACTACGCATCCTCATCCTCGTCGTCGGCGTCGTCCATGTCCATCTCGTCCTCCTCCCCGTTCGCCGACTCCGCGCCCGGCCCCCGGCCCCCACGCTCCATCACTTCTGCGACGCTCAGCCGCGGGCCTGCATCGTAGTGCTCCATCAGCACGCCCACGCCTGCGTCCCACCGCGCCGCGCTCTGAAAGAACCGTCGCTTCAGCGCCGGCGCGTGATGCACAAACCCATGTATGTGGCCGTGGCCCTCGTCCTCATCGAGCCTCGGCACGTCCAAATACTGGTTCGTCGTGATGCTCATGCGCTTGCGCCCCCGCCGTGACCGCCGATACGACGACCGCGACGTGCGCCGGCGCAAGCTCACCGACGAGTCCGAATCCGAGTCTGCGTCGTCCGTTTCCTCTGACGCCATCACTTCTTGGACCCCGTACACGAGATGAGTATGTCCTGCGCATCCGTTAGAGACGAGCGCTTGATAGCAACCGGACGAATCTACTCACGCGCGAGCTGTCTGTCGAGCTCATCCGTCTCATCCTCCTCTTCCTCGGCGCGAGTAAGGCCCAAGTGCACGCCTATGGGGTCTCGCGGAACTTCATGCAAGCCAACGGACGGCGCATGCGGGAGCTCGCACAACGCCTTCAGTACCGATGTCCTGTGGTGGCAAACTGATCAGCAATATTCGCTCGTGCCCACTCTCAAAACGCTCACTTCACCGCCTCGAGTGACCCGTCGCGCATATTCATGTCATCCATGTTGTTCGGGGGCACCTCGAGCCGATAGCGCGGCCCAAACCACTCAAAGTACTCGTTCCATGGTAGATTCGGGTCAATATCATCCTGGATGCCCAGGGCGCACGCCGTCTCGTACGCCCATGTACGCGCGACGTTCTTCACCGTGTACCCGCCGCCGCCGAGTAGGATGAGGGGCATATTCAGCGCGCGCACGTACTGGAGGCAGTTCGCGTGGCCCTGCATTGACAGGTTGAAGCACCCCAGCCGATCCCCTGCGAGGGAGTCTGCGCCGCACTGCAGCACAATCGCGGACGGCCGGAACACTTCCATGATTTTATCGATGACCTGTACCACTGTCAGCGTCCTGCCTCGAACTATCGTATCATGTCAGTGCACGATGCTTACTGGTTCGAACACGCTCCGGAACGACTCGTCGGTGATACCATCCCTGAGTGGGACGTTGACCGCATAGCCCTTTCCCCGCCCGCGCCCGCGGTCATCGAGGGTACCGGTGCCGGGAAAGTACTCGCCGTACTTGTGGAACGAACAGGTCATGACGCGGTCCGTTGTATAGAACGCCTCCTCGACGCCGTCGCCGTGGTGGCAGTCGATATCGATGTAGAGCACGCGGGGGACGGAGCGTAGCAGCTCAAGGATCGCGAGCACGATGTCGTTGATGTAGCAGAAGCCTGATGCCTCGCGCTTCTTGGCATGGTGTAACCCACCTGCCCAATTGATCGCGATGTCCGTCGCGCCGCTTGCGAGGCGCTGCGCGGCAGCTGAGAACGAGATGAGCACAGTTATGGTGGACAGGGACAGGAACTCACCGAGTGATCCTCCTGCAGAAATGCTGCAAAACTCGAACACACCCTCAAAAGCGGGGTTGTCGTCACCGATGAGGACTGAATCACGAACAAATCAGTCAGCTATGACACGTCAAGAGAGCATCGCCACAATGAGATCACGCGGCATGCAACACACATCCTGATTCTAGCCGCGAGTGAGGAAATCCATTACATGTCCAGTTGACCCGCAGGCAAGCATTTAACGTGTGGTCCTCCTTTCACCGTTCATAGTGTATGTATGAGTAGCTTGAAACAGCACTAGCACTGTTGCCGTTCACATAACTATCAACGGACCTTCGACTGAAGAGCGTGGCTGAAAGATACCACCTATTCCCGAACGGGAGACTTGGGACTCATTCAGGCGCATAGACCGGACAGAGTTCCCACCGTCGCGTTGACCCGACAGCAAAAACCAAAACGTACGAAACCACTCACATCGTGTGCCGTCAAACGTGAGCTGGCGAAAGTTCTCCGGCGTGACCCTCGAGAGGAAGTGTATGTATTCGTCGGTGTGGAAGCGGGTCATGGACTCGGCGGACGCGCGTTTTGCACGCTGATGGCGAGGGCAGAGTCTGGGATATTGAGCGGCTAGAGTTCTGCACGGGGACGGGACTCACGAGGATATGCATTTTGTCGAGCATGCCATAGGCAGAAACGAGCTCGTGGGTCATGCGCATGCGCTGAGGCTTCATGAGATGGCCCCAGCCATAGGTGTACGCGCCGACGTCGGCTGTGGTGCGCGTGCGTGAGTGTGTTCCGACTGTAGCGCCAAAGGGAGGGACGTACGGTCGTAGTAGTATGCGACTCGTCTCTTGGACATGGCGGGGGTTGGGAGACGAACGCGACGAGCGCCCGACGCGGGGACGGTTGAGGATCACGTGCTGTTCCGACGCGCGCCTGCTATAAGTGTCTCTGTTGTACACGATTTACACGAGAACGTTGCACGCGGCGGACCCCAGATCTGGCTGTCTGCGATAAGTGTCGGGCGGCTGGAGCCTCGTTCTTGGGTGACCCGAAGAGGGGGCGACGGCTATCGCAGTTCTCCCGACAGGTCGGAAGAAGCGGAATGTTTCTCGGCAGAGGTGCGACACGGGCGTGCGTCGACGCGCGCACGGACGATGACCTCAGCGCGCGCCCGACAGACTGGTAGGGTGCATAGTGGATAGTATCGATCTTGACGCACCTCATGAGGAAGGCAAACCCTGATCACCGTCAGGTTCGTGGGATTATCGATGTTGTTTCACAACTGCATTCTGGCTCCGATCACTCTGTGCTTCCTGCCCCTCGCCGACGCCGGCCTAGAACACGGCGCAAGTAAGTCGGCTCGTACACGGACGCAATGGCCCCCGACGACGGGCTCTCACTCCATAGCACCCCGACACCAGCGAAACTTTGAGTTTGTGCGCATACATAAGCCGACCGTTTGAATGGAAGCAACAGGCCACCTCACGACGTGATGGGTCCAAATCGTGAAGAAGAGACCACCAGCGTCAAGCACCGCCCCACGCCCCCATATTTCTTCCTTTGTCGACGGGGATCCTGCACGCTGGCTGCCATGGTGAGTGCTACGCATCCTGTCTGCCCCAGGCACCCAGTTTCCTTGCATGTCATCCCCGAGTCTTCGACCGTACATCAGGCGTTCTCGAGCACATTCTGGCCGCCTCAGGCGCCTTGACGCTGAGAACCGGCGATGGCGAATGTGGACACGTTCGTACGCACGTACGCGCCGTTCTGGCGGTCGCTCTGTTCACATCAACGCAGCCTGTCATGCCTCACTCGCGCCGCGGTCTGACGGTGGGTGGAACGATGGATGGCGGCTGAGATAGCGCACCAGACGGACAGCCGCCGGCATGGTCAGCCACCATCAGCCTTCTTACCCAGCGCACCACCGGTGCGGATTGTCTGCCTGGCTGACTACCTTGTCCGGCTGTAGAACGGAGATTGTGAAGCTCGGGCGCGGCTCACCGACTTGGAGTACGCACCCTAGATTTTGCGCCGATGGAGTGTGTGCACGCCGGTCCAATAGGGTCGATGGACCATAGTAAGCAATGTCTCTCGTGGCTGGCGCCGCCAAGGATAGTCTTAGGCTTAGTGTTGTGGGCAGAATTCCGAGAGCCGACTTGTGCCAACTGGCCATTGCCACCTGTAGCAGAACATGGCACGCAATCCATGGGTGCGTTCCTGGTACTTGTACGCCCGACGTCACATCGGCTGAAAACATGTCCAACACAGTGCGTCGTGTCGCGGTGTTTGAGACGAGGCGAACAACGCCAGGGTCAAACGCGGCGATGGCACGAGGCAATATAATTAGTGCTCCCCACATACGCCCACAGAAGAGATCGCGACGGGCCGGGGCAAGGCCATCGATCGCGCTGAAATTGGCAGATTAACTATGAGTATGTAGAGATGGGGTCGGGTCCAATAGCACACGGCTCGCGCAGGGCGTGCAGGCCAAGCACAAGGTGGTCATGGGCCCTCGATGCTCCGGCCCATGTCGGAGGCATTTGCGCGGTGAACTGGGTGGTGTTTCCTTTCGCGGTATTGCCGGGCATCGACGCAGCGGGCCCGAGTTGGGAGTTGACGCAAGGACATTCCACGGACGAGGAGGAGGGGTGAATTGGATTGTTCGCTGCGAGGCCAATGATTTCACGGAGCGAGCGCCAGCGGTTGATCCGGGTCTTCCCCAGGTGGTGGGTGATAACATGGGCGGCAGAGGATGGCAGGTAGCGCGGGGGAGCAGAGACGACGGTCGCGACAGCCGAAGCTTCGAAACTCTAACGGGCGATAAGTGGCATCTTCTGGAAATGAGCGAGCCCGGCGGGTGGGAGACTGGGATGTCGCCCGCTAGCTGATGCCTGGCGCCCTCTGCGCCATCGTCGATTGCCGAAGATTGGGTCATGACGGGGGCGGCGCACTAATAGACCTGGTGAGACGGCGACACGGACGGCGTACTGCTGGGACACACGCAGGTCGTGCTCGTGCTCGCTCGCATCTCGATGGATGAGACGCCGCGGCAGGCCGGCGCGAGCGTTTAGATTTGCTTCCGACGCATGGAAGATCAGGATCAAATTCTGAAAGAGGGAGGGCGGGGCCGGTGGAGGGGGACGGAGGCATTCTGCCAGATCAACTCCGACCGAAAGCAGGCAAGGCCTCGACGGTGCGCCTTCTTGCGACGGCTCTACTCCCTCCTCGCGCCGCCTCTTTATATCCCAGCCCCCGCCATGCTCCGTCGCTCCTAGCTACATGTTCCACTCTCGCCCCCTAATCCATGCCGCCCTCCAGCCTATACACATGCTAATCCCTCGCGACCGCGACGCCCTCCCCCCGCTCCAGCCCGCCCCCCCACGCTACTCCTATTCCAACCCAGACCCACCCTCCGCTCTCCTCCTCACCCAGCCTAATGCCTCCTCCTCGTCCCAGCCACCCCCGGCTGCGTCCGCCGTCCCCGCCCCAAAGCGGCGCCATGTCTGCCACACCTGCGACCGCACCTTTACCACCAGCGGCCACCTTGCGCGCCACACCCGCGTGCACACCGGCGAGCGCAACCACAAGTGCCCCTTCCCGGGCTGTGAGACGCGCTGCTCGCGCCAGGACAATCTGCAGCAACAGTAAGTTCATCCACCCATCTCTCTTCCGCCTTTGTCCTCGTTCCCCAAGCGTCGTGACAAAAGCCATCACGGCGTCTCCAGCCAGTCCACCAGCGGCTTGTTCATGCCATATCGAGCGGCTCTCCGTCAGAATAACGACCGCGAGCTCCCTCTGGGATAGCCCCGTCCCGCACGTTGCTGCTGCTGCCCGCTTGCATTATACCCATCAGCTCATCACTTGACTCCTAGCTATCGCATACACCTGTCTCCCGGCTCGCGCAGGAGCACTGGCACCGCAACAAGAGCCGCCATGACCCGAGCGCTAAGCACCTCTGAACGCTCGACCCCAGGCATCCGTGACACTCCCCACGGAGGCCCACGCGCCCTCGGCTCGTCCCCACCCTCGCCCCGCCTTTCCCCGCCCCGCCGGCCCGATCCACCCAACACCCCTCCACTCCTCACACAGGCGCCTCTCCCTCTCGTCCTCACCCCTGCAGACGAGCCCGTGCCCCCACCTTCAGGCACCGTCTCCAGCCGCTCCTCGACGACCTCGACGCCCGACAATGCGTACCGCCCTCCCCACGCCCGGCCGCCGATATTTCATTCTGCCGAATCCCAGCGCCCGGCTGACTCGCTCCAGTCGCCTGACCTCCAGTACCCGTCATCTCAAGCCATTTATGCCTCTCCGGTCTCCGAGACGCACAGTCAGGACGGCTGGGCTCCTGCCGACCCGCACTATGTGCGCGATTACATCTCTCATAGCACATTGGGCGGCCACACGAGCGCGCCACCCTCGCCTGCCGAGAGCCCCGGCGGCCAGTCTTCGTATTACACTCGCCCTGCGTACTCCATGCAGGGCGACTACCAGCTGCAATATTCAGAGCCTTCTGCCGACATGCAGTACGCGCAGTCAGCTGGCGTGCCCCACCAGGGGCACGCGCAAATGCACGCCACGGGCTCCATGGGCTCGTCGCGCCTCTCAATCGCGCACATCTCGCCGCCGCGCCCCCGTCTCTCGCCGCTTGCGCAGGAGAGCATGTCGCCGTTCTCCTCGCACCCATCCACGCCCAGCTACCCCCCGCCCGGCGCATTCCCGATGACGCGGCTGCAGCCGTCGAGCCGTGTGTCCGCGAGCCCCCAGGGCAGCCCGTCGACAGAGCGCCAAGGCGGCGAGGGCATGCTCGTGCGCCCGCCGTACCACCACGCGACGTACCCAGAATACGCGCACGCGCGCTCGATGTCTGGGCCTGCGCCCACGCATCCCGAGTATGCCGACTCACTCGCGGTGCACCACTCGGCACAGCAGCAGCATCAGCAGCACTATGTGCATTCGCAGAGCCTCCCGGTGTACCACAGTGCGCAGGGCGGGCACCGCGCGAAGCACATCTCCCCGCCGCTCACGCTCGCGCCGATCCAGGACCTGCGCGGCGGCCCAGACCTGAGCTATGACGCGCGCGCGCGCGTGTCGCCCACGCGATCGCAGCAGCAGCCGCCAGGCAGCAGCAACGCGCACGGCGACACGCAGACGCACCCATACTACCACCAGGGTCCCCAGCAGATCGCGGAGCCTGTGTACCGTGACCTGCGTTCCCATATCGAGGCGGGCCTGACGGCCGCTGATCATGAGCAGGGTGTGGGGCCGCCACATGCAGCGGGCAATTACGTGCCGCTACACCAGCCGCGGCCGCACCACGCGGGGTACGCGCAGCAGGAGCAGGAGTATGAGTACGACCCGCCGCCAGCGCTCGTGGCGGCGCCGGAGAGCGAGTGGCGGGTAGACAGCAGCGGGCGGCGGCGGGGTCCGCTCGCGCGGTGACGGCGGCGGTCGGTGTACATAAAAGGCGTGCACAGTGCGTGCACGACCGTGCTCATTTCTCAGTTTTTTTCTTTTCTCTGCCGAGGGCTGCATCGATTCGATTTTGACTAGGGCCCACTGACGATGACGAGTGTTTCCATCCGCTGTTCCGACTTCCCGCATGATCGCTCTCCTGGCATGACTGGCATTTCCCGTCGCCCTGACCATAGATACCCTACCACGCTGCGCATATAAACGGTTCCATAGTACTGTCTCTGGAGGTCTCGCTGGCCATACACATCGCGCTGTTCGCTGTACCATTGTTGCTGTCGCCTTGCACGTCGGATAAGTACTGTAGTATGCTACGCCCTATTTGCGCCTGTGCCTATTGTATCATACGCGTCCGAAATGTCTATAGACTGCACAGGCTGACATGAACGTTGATTGTGGTCTTGTGCGGTGCCTCTGAACTTGACTACATGTAGGCGCCAAACCGTGATCAGACGCGTCGCGTCGCGTTGTTCGCGTGCGGCTGGCCTCTTCCTGCTTACCTCCCTCTGCCCACGCACTCCCCGCCGCTTCAGCCCCGAGAGCGCGTCGCACGCGTTACTGAACAACATGCCGAGCGATCTCGATAGGTGAGGTGGCATGAGCCCAGTCGCCCACCCTGCCGCAGGCCTATCTGCGAGTGCCCGCACCACCACCTGCATGCTTACGTTTTTCCCCGTCCGCGACGCAGACAGATCGAGCAGCTGCACCGGTGCGAGCCGATCTCGGAGGAAGATGTCAAGAAGCTGTGTATCAAGGCGCGAGAAATACTGATCGAGGAGGCGAACGTGCAGACCGTGGATGCCCCGGTGACGGTGCGCGCATCTTGCTTCGCCGCGTCTTACCTCGGCCTGATCACCTCTCGTGCCGGTGGATCGTACGGGAACGCGTGCAGATATGCGGCGACATACACGGGCAGTTCTGGGACATGGTCGAGCTCTTCAAGGTCGGCGGCTTCTGCCCCGAGACAAACTACCTCTTCATGGGTCCGTCCCTTCCCCGCCGGGCGCGCGCACACGTCGCTAACGCTGCGGCCACAGGCGACTTTGTCGACCGCGGGTTCTACAGCGTGGAGACCTTCCTGCTGCTGCTCGCTCTCAAGGTCCGCTACCCCGAGCGTATAACGCTGATTCGGGGGAACCACGAGTCCCGCCAGATCACGCAGGTGTACGGCTTCTACGACGAGTGCCAGCGCAAGTACGGCAGCAGCAACGTCTGGCGCTGGTGCTGCGAGGTCTTCGACTACCTCGCGCTCGGCGCAATCGTCGACGGCAGGGTGTTCTGCGTGCATGGCGGCCTCAGCCCCAATCTGCAGGGAATCGACCAGGCGCGTATTCCTTCCTCCCAACCTTGTCCTTGTCCTCTCCTGCCCGCGCGCGCCTCTCCCGGCTTCTGACCGACTGCACTGACGCTCTCTGCTGGACACTTAGATCCGAGCCATTGATCGCAAACAAGAAGTCCCCCACGACGGGCCAATGTGCGACCTTCTCTGGTCAGATCCAGATGGCAAGTCCCTCCCGTCCTTAACATGCAGGGTCTCCCCGCGCGCCCTGTGATCTCATCCCTCCTCCCACAGAGATCAGTGGCTGGGGCCTCTCCCCGCGGGGCGCCGGGTTCCTCTTCGGCGCAGACATCACGCGGCGGTTCGCGCACGACAACGCCATCGACCTCATCGCGCGCGCGCACCAGCTCGCGATGGAGGGCTACAAGCTCATGTTCGAGCGGACCATCGTGACCGTCTGGAGCGCGCCCAACTACTGCTATCGGTACGTCCGTGTGTCCCTGAGCTCAGCAGGATGACGCGATGCGCGCGGCGCGCTGCTATGATCACCGCGGCATCCCGGGGCCCCTGATGCCCGTCGTCTCTGCTCAGCAGAGCTCGCTGCACGCCCACCACATACTCCGCCTATTCTCCGCCGGCTCGTTCTCACCATTCACGGTTCGTTCCCAGCTGCGGCAACGTCGCTTCGATTCTGGAACTCGACGAGAACCTCGCGCAAGATTACAAGGTCTTCGCGCACGCGCCTTCGGTGGGTCGTTTCGTTCGCTCCTTATTGGCATCGTCGCCTTGCATCTACGATTGCTCCGTTGCCCTTTTCGACCGAGTTCACATGTCAATCATCCTCGCCCCAGCGTCACTAGCAAGCCGCTAACCCGTTTCCGTGTCCCAGGATGTTCGCTCGATACCGGCAAAACGCCCCCCAGCGGATTATTTCCTGTGACATGCCGGCGGTAAATTGGTCAAATTCATCCGGCTTCTTGTTGGGGGTGGGCAGAAGACTATCTGCCATCTTCCGCGTGTGATTGGCACCTAATCCCCTGGCGACGGGCGAAGATGTGTCGAGGAATACGATGTATTATTGTACGACGTCTTGTAGCGCTAAACAATTTCATTCCGGTGCGTCGGAGGCTCTTTATTCGAAGCGCACATCTACATGATAATGAGGATACAGCGAGTCAACAAGGAAGCGTGTGATACGTATATGAGGTGTGCACCGGGAGTATGCGAGGCAATTGCGGTATACAAAACTGGGGCAAGTGATGGCTACAGTAAGACGAGTATCAGGACAATATCTACAACTTCGTCCGGCGGGAAGCGCCACACTTAGGTAGCGCCCTTTGTCTTGCTCGTCGTCTTGCTGAACAGCTTCGCCTTCTCCAGCGACGCGTAGCCTGTTACATCCCATGTCAGTCATCATTCACACGTCAGACCAAGATTGGTCTAGCAAGATACGCACTGTTCTTCGCCAACATCTTCTTGTAATCAACGATCGTGATGCCTTCCTTTGTCAGGTTCTTGATCTTGCGGTCCTTGACCTCCCACAGCTCCTCGGCGACCTGGGAGATCAATCCTAGCCCGAACGCGTTAGTGGTCGTGTTGCGGCTTATGCCGAAGGATGCTACGTACGGAAGTCATGAGATACAATCACCACACCGCCCTCGAATTCCTTGATCGCAGTGGCGAGCGCATCGATCGAGGCCATGTCCAAGTGATTCGTGGGCTCATCCAGAAGGAGGATATGCGGATGCTCCATCGCGAGCTGCGCAAAGACCACACTGAATGAAAAAGAAAACGGATGAGCGCGCACGGCGCAATGCAGCGGCAGATCACGCACCGATTTCGCAGGCCGTCTGAGAGCTGCTTGATCGGGGACGTCTGGTGCGAACCCGAAAGACCGAAACGGCCCAACTGAGCGCGCCACGCCTGACCGCAGCGTCAGCAAGCCCGCGGAATGTAGTATCAGGTGGCAGAAGAAAGGGGCAAACGTACCTGGAGGTCTTTGTCAGGGTACTTCTCAGCGTAGAGCGACTGGAAGTGCTCGATTGGCGCCTTCATATACGGCAGCTGGTCTGCCGAGTGCTGCGAGTATTTGGCCAGCTTGAGGTTGACGTGCCGTGAGACCGTGCCCTCACTGGGCTGTAGCGCGCCCGTGATCAGGTTAAGTAGTGTCGACTTGCCGGTACCGTTCTGTCCGACAATGGCTACGCGAGACTCCATGCTGGAGGAGGTTAGTATACACACGGGTGAGGACAATCGGCAATGTACTAACTCGATACCAAAGGAAAGGCCTTGATACAGGTAGTCGCTTTTCTTGCCTGAGTAGGCGAACGCAACCTCGTTGAAGGCAAGGATTGGAGGAGGAAGCTTCGAGATGTCCTCAAAGTTGAAACGCAGCGGCCTGGGCACCTCAATTTTTTCAATGAGACCAGCAGCCTCCATCTTGTCGATAATCTTCTGCTTCGATTTGGCCTGCCTGACGAGGTTGGCATACGTACCGGCCGAAGCAATGAACCTGTGCGCGTAAGGTGAGTAACCAATGCTCTATGCAATAGTGTGCGAGCGTATTGTACTTCTTGATGTGTGCAATCTCGTCCTGCTGCTTCTGGTACGCCTTCATCTGGTTGACCTCGTTCTCTTGCTTCGTCCGGACGTACGTCGAGTAGTTACCACCATAGTACACCAGCTTTTTCTTCATCGTGAGGTCCATGATATTCGTGCACACGGTGTCCATGAAGTCCTGCGAATGCGACGTGATCACAAGGATGTGGTTGTACATCGAGAGGTAGGCCTCGAGCCAGACGACCGCCTCCAAATCGAGATGGTTCGTCGGCTCATCCAGCAAGAGCAGGTGCGGCTTGACGAAGAGCGCACGGGCGAGAGCGACACGCATACGCCAGCCACCACTCATATCCTTGGTCGGGCGCGCCATCATCTGCGTACTGAAACCGAGACCGTGGAGGATGCTGCCCGCCTTCGCCTCGAAGGTGTTGGGATCCATCTCCTCGAGCTCTTCGTATGTCGCGTCGAGTGCAGCTTCGTCGATCTCGTCTGCAACGGAGAGGTCTTCGATGCGCTGTTCGAGCTTCGCAACCTTTTCCTTGGCGGAAGCGACGATATAGTCGACCGCGTTCACGTCTGAGGGCTCGACCTCACCGCTGACGAGGTAAATGTCAATATGCTCGGGGATCTCGATATCGCGTTCTGCAATGGACTGGAGGAAGGTCGACTGCGCGTACAAGGAAGAGTTAGCAGTAGGCAAATACACACAATGTCCTGTGCACACCTTTCCTGAGCCATTGTCACCGAGCAACCCATACCGTTGACCGTAGTTCAGTGAGATCTCGGCACCCTCGATGAGTAATCGGCCGTGGAAAGACAATGTGTAGGAATCAATCTTGATATCGCGGCCCTTGGGGTCAGAGACGAGTACACCTGCTGCACTCCTGAAGGCGGCGTCGCACGATCAGCCGTCTGGTTCGGCAGTCGAATGCGGAGACGACTGACCTATCGGTCGCAATCTGAAGCTTGGCCATGGACGTGAGGTCTTCCTGGCTGGTCGCAGCCGAGACACTGGTCAAGGGCGTGTTCACGGAGCTGCCATTGACGGAGGAGGCAGTCGCGGTCGATGTGGACGCATCAGACTTGCCCTTGGATGCCTGCTTTGCGGCCTTTTCTGCGAGACGCTTTTGTTTTGATGCGGAGGGGGCCATGGTGGACGAGAGCAAAGAGCGTCGAGAGCAAGCCTTGAGCTGCCCGCATTCCCTTGCATCGATCGGGTGGCGCTCCCTCTTTTTTCGGCTTACTCGAGCCGGCTCATCTTAGCGCCCGCGGACAACATCTCACTAACAGTATACCAAATATTCGCATCGGTTGTCTCACATTCAGCTCATTATTCATCGCAATCATCATCTCATTTTGGGTCAACAATAACACTACGGCTACAGTGAGATGAGATGCACGACAAGACCCTGCAAAGAAAAGGTACGAATCAATGCTTGGTTCATGTCAATCCAATGAACATAATGTCAGACAAATTGTAATGATTCCGGATAGACTGTATCCTCGATGGACACTCATACGAATGTCCTCAGTTGAGGGAGTCTGTTTTGTCATCTCAAAGGCAAAGCCATAGCCTGCCGCAAACACAAGCGTTGCTCACCTTAACGGTTCTTGAAGTAGTCGAGGAGGACGTGGAGGCCCTCGCTCTCAGTGCCGTAGTCCTTGACGACGACGCAAGAGCACCCAACGATCTTGCGCGGGTTGCCCTCGCGGTCGATCTTGCAGAGACCGGCCCAGGTACCAAGGATCTTGGCGTCACCAACCTTAATGAGGTTGATCTTGTGCTCAGCACAGAGAGCCTCTATGAGCTTGATGTACTCCGCCTCCGTGCACGTCTCGACGAGGACACAAAGGTGGGCCTGGCGCTTGTCGAGCGCTTTGGCGCACTCACGGAGACCTCGCGCGAGCCCGTCGTGCTTGAGAGCGTTCTTCAGCACTTGCTACAAAGGGATATGTCAGTACGCAAGTGGGCACAAAACATATGTGTATGCAAACCTGAAGCGCATCCTCAACGGACAGCTTGCCCTTGGGAGCCTCGGCAGCGGCCTCGACCTCGACGGGGGCCTCGTCGACTTGAATTTCATCTCCAGCGTCAGACATCCTGTAAGTAACGGGTCCCTCGTGAGCACTGCGTTAACCGGGGGGGGTGTCTACGGAGCATACTTTTAGAATATGGCTATGGGGAGGCGCGATGTCTTCGTCCGCTTTCGTTGATGTGAGGAAAAACTGAGTTTGGGCGATGCGCGAATATACAAGCAATTCAAACCCCGCCGGCAGTGTGCGGTGGCCCAAGCAATATGGGCGTCTACATGCGATCAATGCAGTCATTGAAACCTACGCGCGTGGTTGGTCTGACTGTCTAAAACATCCTAGGAAAGATATCATCATGGTCAGTATGCAGCTACTCACGGATAAGGGTACCCTAAGCTAACTTTATTTCTAGAGTCTCGCGTTCTTACATGCACACGACGGGAGTGAACGTACGCCACCACCGCGTCAAGTACGCGCGTATATACTGACTCGTGCTCAGCACATACCGACGCCGTATGGGGCGTCGTATGGACACAATCTGACACCGTTTTGACCGCTTCAGCCGATGGTTCGATCAAGCAATGGGACTCCGTCTCCGGCCAAGTCTCGCGCACACAACATCCGCATACACACGGCATCGTCTCGCTCGATGCTGACTCTTCGGGGAAATACGCGCTGTACAACAGTCTAGAGGGGCTGACATGTCTGTGGAATCTTGAGACGGGGGAGACGGAGGGAAAATACGAGAGCTACGTACGTAGTGCAGCGGAGGCGAGCGAGCCTGGTACGTGATAGTTATCCTCATAGGTGTCGGCGCATCTGACCGTCTTCGCCCTCCCCCCTCATAGCTTGGTCCGTGTCGCTGAACCCCAAGGGCAGAACGTACGCTTCGACCGGCGGCTCCGGCAACGTGACCATCCATTCCGCTGAGCGCGACTCCTTTGGCGAGCGCCGCGCAACGCTGTCCAGCGGGCGCAGCAAGTTTGGCATGTTCTGCAAACATGTGGGTCATCCGTAAGCCGTCCTGTTCGTGCTGTCCGTGTCCGTTCAATCTGTTGTTCCCGCAATTGCCTGTCTGTGTGCGACTGACGAACATGCTAACACTCATCTGCACAGAGCCCAGACGGGAGCCGCGTAGCCATGTCGTCGGAGACAGGCCAGATCTACATATTTGACATCGCATCTGCATCCCTCTCATCCACATACACCTCCCATGCAATGGCTGTCCGCTCCCTCGCATGGTCTGCCGATTCACAGGTGCACAAGTATGCTACAGTCCGCTGCAGTAACTTCCTAACACCGTGCCCGCGTCTACAGCTCCTCATATCGGCGTCAGAAGACAAGCGGCTCATACTACACGACGTGCGCGTCTCCCCGTCTGGCAAGCCCGGCTCAGGCGCGGTGGCCACATTCGCGGGGCACACTTCGTGGGTTCTCAGCGCGGACATCTCCCCAGACGGCCGACTCGCGCTTTCAGGGTATGTGCATTATACGTCTCGCGTGTCCACTGACGCGTCACGCATCATGCAGGTCCGCCGACAAGACAATGAAAGTATGGGACCTGGCTGCGCGAGCGGCAGTCTCAACGATCCCAGATACGGGCGAGGTCTGGAGCGTGGCGTGGCGCCCACGACCGTCGCCCAACAACACTGCAGGTGCGTTCGTGAGCGGAGGGGAGGATGGCATCGCACGGTGGTGGCGAGCTGCGGGATCAGGCCCCGGAGTGTAAATTCATAGGCTAAATTGACTGTCACGACGTTCGTGAGTTCTTGCACCCATGTGCTCCTAGCTAGAGTACTGTTACAGTATCATGAAACCCCCCCTGGTGGAGACTGGGTTGTCCGAAGACCGTCCGTGTTGCCACAATACTAAGCCTCAGGATGAGCGTCCATCGCGAACTAGCCAATTAGCAGCATACATCGTTAGCTCACAGCTTGTTCACGGGCTTCACTATCAGTCGTTCTTCTGCCTCCCGTTCTCGCCGTTCTCGCGACCTAGGCCCAAGCCTGCGAGGAACGACATACGCATCGCAGCGCCCGCATACACAAAGCCCACGCTGCCCCACTCCATCGCCGTCCAGTTCGCGCACTCCAGAAACACCCGCGCGAACCCCTTCTCGCGCGCGAGCGGCACCATCGTCGCTAGGTGCCCAAAGTCCGCGATGAGCAGCCCCGTCAGGAGCCGGCGCCACGTGCGGCGGTCTGTCGTCGACGAGAGCACGAGGTGCTCGTTGAGCGCGAAGAGCAGATAGAGGTTCGCGAGCTGATACAGCGCGGAGAGCGTCGGTGTCGGCGGGGTGTCTGTTGTTGATGCGGGCGCGGACGTGAGGTATGCAAGGTACTCGGCGGGCCTGCCGGCAGCGTAGTATGCGCCTACGAGCGCAGAGATGGGCTCGATGACGAGGAAGAAGAGCCTGTATATGAGCGGAATGCCTGCCATCGCCGTCACAGCACAACAGAATGTATGACAAGCGCCCACATAGGCCAAGCCGATCTTCACGGGCATCATCTCCATTACCATAGCACTCACGCCAGCGGTCCATTATGACGCATAAATGCTCCTTGTGATACAATATAGCGCATATCATAAATGCTACAGCGTGATAAAGACAGCGGGAAACACAGCAACCAGAGTAGCGGGGCTCCCAATCGACTGAGTAAAACAGCCGTTGGTATAAGCGTGCGGGCTCGTGTGGTGCGTTGCACCCTGGTAGCGATCTCCTGCGTGCGCGACGTCTAGAAGAGACGGATGGGCTTGCCCATCGTGGTCTTGATGTGCAGCGACTTGACGTTCTGCCAGTTCTTCTTGAGCAGCGAGACGAGGAAGTTGATGCCTGCCCTCCTGTGTCAACGGCACGTACGTCGGTGCATACAGAAAAAAGACGCACTCAGCATGACGTTTCCGAGCACCTGGTCGTCCGTCATCTGGATGTGGCCGACGGCGACACCCAAGCAGAGAACCTTCTTGAGCTGGAACTTGATCGTGGAGCGCACCTCAGTGAGCTTGTTCGCGAGGTCCTCAGCGTGCGAGACGGGCGTCGGGAACTTGCCCGCCTTCGAGAGACCAGGACCGAGCAGACGGGGGATCTGCTTGATGAGCGTCTCGGACGCAAGGAAGGCGTCGTACTTCTTGGCGAGCTTCTTCACAAGCTTCTTGTTCTTGTTCAGCCTAAGGAGGGGGAGCGCCAATGAGCAGCCGCGGACAGCGACAGCACGGATACGCACTTCTTAAGATCGTCGACGCTCATGTACTCGAGGTCGATCTGCTTCGCGCGATCAATGTCTGCGGCATCGGCGAGAATGCAGATGGACATGCGCGGGCGCGGGACGGTCGGGAGCCTGGACAAGTCACAGATTAGGCCTTTGTTATTGAGCTAGTCTCTAGCAATGCACACACTTGACAGTTCCCGAGAAACGCTTGTCGCGCTGGGGGTCGTAGTTCTTGAGGCCGATCTGGAGCTCGATCGTCTCGACAAAGTTGCGCTTCTTGTCGCCATTGGCCTCGGCGAGGAGCTCTTTCACGGACACACGGACGCTGGCAACGGAAAGTTTGGAGCCGCTGGATCGCAAGGTCAGACGATGGCCATGCAAGTAAGCAAGCACGACGACGCACCTCATTTTGTTTTTACCTTTGCCGCACGCTTATAGCCTTGAGGATGAGTGCGCTGACCACCCATTCCTCTGCAGACGAGCCGTCGCGGCAACTGCCGGATATACTGTACAGTTGCTTCGTGGGCGCTAGTGGACTGGCGCTTCCTGGCGCCTGTTGGCAATGCCCTTGCTCGCGAATAACCACTGATCCTGCAGATATCCCCCGGGGAGGGAGGTCGCTGCATCTCCGTTCCCGGGGGATTGTCCAGTCTCCGTGTATTCTTCCCGCTTGTCCCGACCAATACATGATCCCAAGGTACTGTTCGACAAAATTGACTGCAACGCATCCGTGATGCATTGAACGCTTCTCACGGAAGGACTGACTGTCCATAGCCTGTAGCACTCAGGGCGCAGAACACCACAGGCCAAAATCGATTCCTTGCGCCTGCCGCGACCGCTTTGCAGGACATTGCGGTAGCATTCGGATTCTGCGTCTGCGTCTGAGAATACAAGTACATTTCGTAGGACCCTGCGTCATCTCATCCGAACGTCCCTCTGCCCCCGCCGCGCACTGCGCCCCTCATGCCGCCTGCATGCCCCGCGGCATCCGCGCGCCCGCCGGCGGCGGGTTCTTCTCGCGGAACTCGCGCGCCATGTCCGCCATACACACCCAGTGCACGTCCGCGTGCGTGTCCACCCACTCGATGAAGCGTTCCTGCATCGCCCGCCGCACGTCACCCTCGGCGCTGCCGCCCACAACCACGGACGGACGCCACTCACCAGCATGAGCAGCACGTGCGGGCGCCCGCTGACGTCGGGGTGGATCGTGATCGGAAAGATGAAGTTCTCTTCTTCCCTGCGGCAGACCAGCGTGTGAGCGGGTTCGGCGACCGCCCCGCGCCGAGTGCGCCACAGCCAGCGGGGGGACCGGATGACGCGCGGGAGAGCGACGCACCTGTACAAGTACGTGAACGTGTCCTTCCACAGCTGCTCGACGTCCCGTGCGTTGACCTGCCGCACCGCGCCCCGTGCAGCCCTCAGCCAAGCTCTTCACGTGCGTGCAGACCCACGACGTGCACTCACCCAGCCGTGCGAGTTTGGCGCCGACTTGATGAACCTGGCCCGCGGCCCGTCAGAGGAACCCGTGCGCCGCATAGCGCGGACACTCACATCATCGGCGGCAGGTCGTCCAGGTACCTGCACCCCGCCCGATGTCAGGGCGGCCACGTCCGCAGCCCCGCGCAAGACGGCGGCACGCACCAGTTCCCGGGCAGCTCGACGAGCCCCGTGGGCTTGCCGCGCACGAGCGGCTTCATCCAGGTGTGCGCCTGCGCGCTGTAGTCGATCTTCGTCCACGTGTCCTGGTCGCGCAGGTAGTACGCCTGCGAGCTGCGCGGCGCGTCCGTGAGTGCGTGCGTGCGGAAACGAAGACGGGGAGAGGCGCACGCACTCGTGCGCCATGTTCGAGTGGTCTGTGCGCGGGTCAGCGGTCAGCGGGTGCGGGCGGAGGACACGGCGCCACGCACCATACTGAATGCCCTTGTCGAGGAGGAGCTCGCTGCCCTCGCTGCTGGTCTCCCACCAGGGCGCGACGCTGCCCTTGGGCGGGACCCCGCCGCAGAAGTCGGTGAGCAGCTTGTACGTGTGGTCGAGGATGTCCTTTTGCTGCGCGAGCGACATGGCGATCGGGTTCTGCGCGCGGGGAGGCCGGGTCAGTGGATGGACGGTAGGAAGAGGCGGCAGCCTACCTCGTGCGAATAGCCGTGCAGGCCGCTGTTGTGTGCGGCGCGGGGTAAGGCGATCAAGGGGTAGCGGTGCAGGAGGGACGCACATCTCGTGTCCGGCGTCGCGCACGGCGGCCATCTGGTCGGGGAAGGTCTCCAGGCTGTGTCCTGGCGCGACGGCGCTGAACGCTGCAGTAGTGAGGGGCTGCAGGGGAACGCACCGGGAATGAACCAGGTCGTCTTCATGTTGTACTTTTTGAAGAGGTTGAGGAGGCGGGGCACGCCGACCTCGCCGGCGTACAGGCCCTGCAGCGAGGGACATGTGAAGCGCTATATGCGCACGGGCCTATACTGCGAGACGCGACGTACGCGGGAAATGTCGAGCGGCGAGTCTTGGCCACCGTAAGAGCCAAGCCTAGGCAGGTGCAGGCAGGGCACGACGGGCGAGCTAAGTATGGACGCACCATCCTGCGACGGCGTCGACGTCGACACCGAAGCCGATGAGTATCCTGCGCGGCATTGGACTTGAATTGGACTAGGGTAGGTGGACGGGCACGGCGGGCAATAGACACGGGTTGTGTGATATGTATGCAGGATAAGAGCGGATAATGTATTGGAGAGATGACTGTAGCTTGTGAGCTTGGAGATTGGAGAGCAGGGGTGTCCGACGGAGGGCCATGGCGAAGACGATAGCGGTGACGTCTGTGGGTGCACTGATACACGGTAGAATGATGAGCAGACGAAGATAAGCAGCGGAGGTCTAGTATACATACGCGCTGGTGGCGGGCCGATCACTCTCGATCGCGTCGTGTGTATGAACGAGTGGGCGTCGGCGAGCGATCCACGGACGGCTTGATAGGCTGTCACCCTCAGCCGCGAGCCAAGACGGCGGCCCCCTCGGGCTGGGATGATAAGGACCATGTCGCGCGCTCCATCAGCCGCTTTTATATTAGCTGCCCCGCTCCTTCTCCCTTCCCTTCATACTGACGCAGTGACCTCCCCGCGTCCTCGTCTCTGACATGTCCTCGTCAGAACTCAAAGACGACAAGCAGCAAGCTCTGGCCACTGCCGCTACCGTCCCTGTAGACGACCACACCCAGCATCACCATCCAGAGCTCTCCCATCTGCGCCATGCCGACGACGCCCTTCTCGCAAAGCTCGGCTACAAAGCCGAGTTCAAGCGCGAGTTTTCGGTGAGTCGCCGTTGCCATCTCTCCCTCGCACCCACTCGCGGACTAGTTCTCGCGCACTGTATGATCCCGTTTGTCTCTCGTGCCTGACCCGTCCGTCGTCCCATCGCCTACTGTTCTCGGAGGTATTGTCCGGCCGAGGTGTGCCTAAGTACGCACACTGGAGTCTCGTCCGCCCAAACAGAGACGGCAGATACGCAAGGCACTCGGCTCGCTTGACAGTCCACTGCAGGCGGGAAACTTCAGACATATCTTCGGCACAACTCGGAGCATGTTATTGAATGCAACCGCCACCCGCTATGATGGCCGCATCTCGCCAACCAGTTTGCCTCTGGACCGGACAAGGCAGTCGGGTTCTCGAGTTTCTCTCGCTCTCTGAATGTCCGAATATGGCTGTCCCACCGAAGCACTGTAATCCGGAACGTGCGCCCTGCGTATAATCAGGGGGTTGTTGCGCATGGCGTGTAGCGTATTTAATACATTGAGGACATTATAGTTTTATCGATCGCCCCCAGTTCCTTCCCTACAATGAATATTGTCTCATTGATGATGTCCCACAGCTCATAGAGACTGTCGCGTTTGCCTTTTCAATCATGGGCGTCATCGCGTCAGTGTCCTCGACGTTCTCCTTCCCGCTTGCCTCAGGTATGTCGCGCAGCGCTCTCTGCCCGGCCGTCGTGCTCATGAATGGCATGCCCGTGCAGGCGGCCACGTCGGCATGGTGTTTGGCTGGCTCATCCCGTCGCTCTTCGTCATGACCGTCGCGGCTTCCATGGCCGAGCTCGCGTCGTCCATGCCGTAAGCCAATCCAGCGTCTGCGCCCATTCCTCCGCCGCTCACTTTGTACGCAGCACGAGCGCCGGGCTGTACTACTTCTCCGCAAAGCTGGCGCCGCCCAAGTACGCGCCGCTCGCGAGCTGGATCACCGGCTGGGCGAACATCACCGGCCAGGTGACGCTGGTGTGCTCGATCGACTTTACATGGTGCGTCCCGCGCGCGCACGTCGTGCTCCCCCTCCCTGACAGCCAAGTCTGCAGCGCACAGATGATCACGAGCGCGATCGCGGTGGGCTCGGGCGGCTCTGTGAACCTGGGCGCGGGCGCGACGTACGGGATCCTGCTCGCGATCCTGGCGACGCACGGGATGGTGTGCTCCGCGGCGACGCGCGTGCTGGCGCGGCTGAACCTGTTCTACGTCGTCGTCAATGGCGAGTGCCGTGTCTGGGTTGCGGGGAGGCGCTGATGATCCTAGCAGGCCGCGCGCAGTCGGCACGTCGATCGCGGCGATCGTCGCGCTGCTGGTGTGCTCGGGCGCGAGCGGGCAGCGTGTGTCCACGCGCGAGGCGTTCACGGACTTTGAGAACAACACGGGATGGACGAACAGTGAGTGCGCGCACGCCTTGACACGCCCACGACCCGAGCTCACACGCGGGCGCGGTAGACGGCTGGGCGTTCCTCCTCGCGTTCACGTCGCCGATGTGGACGCTGACGGGCTGTGAGCGGCCTCCTGCATCGCGTCCTACGCACGCTCGCTCACGCGCACGCACACATCACAGACGACTCGGCCGCGCACATCGCGGAGGAGACGGCCGGCGCAGCACGCGCGGCGCCCATCGCGATCCTCGTCGGCGTCGGCGCGACGGCGTCGCTCGGCTGGCTGCTGTTCATCGCGGCGTCGTTCGCGACGGCGTCGGTGCCCGCGCTGCTCGCGTCGCCGCTGCCGCTGCCGATGGCGCAGCTGTTCGTGGACGTGCTGGGCGCGCGCGGGATGCTCGCGCTGTGGAGCTGCGTGATCGTCGTGCAGTACGTGACGGGCGCGGCGCAGGGCGTGGACGCGTCGCGCGTCGTGTTCGCGTTCGCGCGCGACCACGCGCTGCCGGGGTCGCGCTGGTGGAAGCGCATCGACCGCCGCACGCGCACGCCCGTGCACGCGGTCTGGCTCGTCATGGTCCTCGCGGGGGTCTGCGGCCTGCTCGGGTTCTCGGCGACCGCGCTGTCGTCGCTCGCAGGGTGCGTCCTCGCCCGCTCGCTCGGGCGGGCATCGTCGGTCGACTCGGGCGCTGATGATGGCATGGGACAGGGCGTCGGTCATCGGTCTGTACACGTCGTACGTGACGCCCATCTTTCTGCGCATCACGTCTGGGCGCGACAAGCTCGTCCCCGGGCCGTTCACGCTCGGGCGCTGGTACCTGCCGATCGGGGCCATCGCGTGCGCGTGGGTGTCGTTCATCGTCGTGCTGCTGCTGTTCCCGCCGGGGCAGACGCCCAGCGCGGACACGATGAGTGCGTCCCTTTTCAGCCCTCCTTGTGGTGGCGTGGCTGACGTGCGTGTGGCAGACTACGCGGTGGTGATCATCATGGCGGTGTTCGTGTTCGCGTCGGTGTCGTGGATGGTGTCGGCGCGCAAGTGGTTCACGGGCCCGATCGTCAACGTGGACGACAGCCGCACGGCGTCGTTCGACGAGAAGCACGGCTCGCAGTGACTTTGATATGTATATTACGTGCAGGATGGACGGATGTGAGTTGGAGCGTTGCGAATTGGAATAACAGATGCTTGTGCACTACGATAAACGCCCGCGGAACTTGCAGCACAATATACATACAGCGCGGGATTCTGGCGCGAACCCCGCAGCCAAGGTCGCGGTAAACAGTAATATAGTTGTCTCGTACCCATCCCCCCGTATCCGCACCCCACCACCGCGAAAAGGGGGTCTGGGGCAGTTAGATAGGCGCACCCCCCCTGGCTTAAGCGCCCCACAAGCGCCGGAATGTAACGGTCACAGTAGGCTTCTGGTACCGAGAAATGATGCGATCTTTGATCGCTTTCCAAATCCGGTACTCACACCTAGCAGGTCGTGCTCGAGACTGGTGGACGCTACATTGTGGTCTGCTACAGAATCTCAAGTTTACTTGTTTCAAGCATCTTAGATAAGTCTCATATACTATATCCACCAGCAACCTAAGTATTTCATGAGATATACCCCTCCAGCAACATCATGAGGATGCCACAGGTACTGAAAGGAGAAGTTGCAGCTTTCATCATGATGCTTTCCACATGATACTTCATTTGGTCATGAACTTACAGGCTGAGTTTGGCATAGATATTTTTTGTGTGGCCTTTCAAGTATTTTACAAGCTCAGGTATGCCTTTGTTGACACTTCCTCGAGCATGACCTGCTAGGTGTGAGTACCGGATTTGGAAAGCGATCAAAGATCGCATCATTTCTCGGTACCAGAAGCCTACTGTGACCGTTACATTCCGGCGCTTGTGGGGCGCTTAAGCCAGGGGGGGTGCGCCTATCTAACTGCCCCAGACCCCCTTTTCGCGGTGGTGGGGTGCGGATACGGGGATGGGTACGAGACAATAATATAGCATTTTCCGATGGGACTTCGCCGTCGCGATCAATTTCGGAGAATGCCGACACGTCTATCAGTCGAAATTCACTTGCGGAATCATTTCCTGCATTTCCGGATCCTCTACCACTACCGTCACTCAAAGAACGTGGTCGCGCGTACCCATGGCACCAGAGCAGGACACATCGCCGCCCCCAGAAGACTCAGCTGCCGGCGCACTGGGCGCAGTGGCCTCAATCGTCCGTCCATACTCGCAGTCTCCGTGCGTATCTGCTGCTCGTCGACTTGGGGCTAGCGATGAGCCATGTTTCCTGCCCCCATGCCTCATCACGGTTGCTCACACGGACGATTTCAGGAATCCCGTCTGGGCACTGTCAGGATTGTGTACGTCCCACCGTCTCAGCTAGCTAACCCGCGGCCGAACATCGCCCAGTTCTGGCTTCCTCCCTCATCCCGCCAAACCCGCGCCTACCGCCCCTCATGCATCGCGTCGGCTTCGGGGCCATTTTCGCCGGCGCCGGCTACGTTGTCTCGTGCGGCGACACGCGCAATGGGAGCGGTATCACGACAGGTGCGTGCCCCTGAGCAGCCGTATTCGCGCTGAGCTGTCCCACTTGACCATACCCCTGCAGCGTGGTCGCTCACGTACCTCTTCCTCAACCTCCGCAAGTCTTTGCTCACTGCCCGCCATCCGCTTTCTCTGGTGCTCACTGCTGCAACATTGGCGTCATCTACGGTGTACGGTAGCGAGTACTTCCTCCTGCAAGAAAAAGACGAGACATAGCACGCTCATTACAGAGTGAACTGACCACGAAAGACGCATCTATCGTAGCAATTTATACATTCTGTCAGAACTATACCTCACTCGCTATTGAGGGCATATATGCTACCAGGAACAGACAAGCGAATACAACCGTGGAGCCAGAGGTGCGTAGGTCCCAGGTGTGATGACGAGGAAGTACACCTGGCAGGACAAGAGACAATAATATCTCTGCGGGCGGTCAATAAGAAAACGCTGCTCATTGATGCCACATCTCTTTTGTAAAATGCTCACTCCCAATGTGATTCAGATATGACGAGCACGTGATCGCGTCAGCGCGTTCTACAGACTGAGCGATGTGTACATGTATTGTCCTAAATTCCTCTTGATGACTGGCCTCATCTTGTGCACGCGTAAGTAAAGTGCACACCCTCTCGTAGCCACCAATGCAGCTATCTGCTACTACGACCTAGTACGTTGTTCGGTGAGTGGGAGTGTACTGGACCTACTGCGTCCGGGGCGGTTTGGCTCAAAACCAATCGCTGTTATATAGCTGCTGGGCCGGCCGTGCAAGCCGTGCACAGCAGCGCGGCGGAAGCGAGGAAGATCGCTGCACGCGACCGAGGACGGCGTGCCTGCGTGCGCCATATCACTCGCTCATGACGACCACAAGCACCCGTCAGTCCTAGGCGCCGTCATTGCCTTATATTAGGCTTCGCAGATCAGCACGCTCGGACCACCTGCGCGCACGCCTGCATCGACCACTGTGCCATGGCCGACGTCGACGCCGCATCCGTCCGCCTATCGTCCGACTCCAAGGCGGACCTCAGCGACCCCGAGAAGCCCGGGGAAGACGCCGCCTCCCTCTCCGCCGACGCTGAGGACGGCCGTCCATGGTGGAAGCGGGTTCTCGCGAGCGGCGCGAACGGGGCACATACGACGCAGCGGGGGATGCGCAGCCGCCATCTGATGATGATCGGTATGTCCGCGCACGCTCTCTGGCTCGTCGATCGTCCCTGCTCACGCTCGCACAGCGATCGGCGGGACCATCGGCACGGGCATCTTTCTCAGTGCGGGTTCGGTGAGCACCGCGCGCGCCCCTCCTGCGTTCCATCTGTCTACATCATCGCGCCCCCGCCCTCCCCTTTTAGGCTGTCGCCACGGCAGGTCCAGGGAGCGCACTCATCTCCTACTTCATCGTGGGCATCTTCTGCTATGGTGTGGTCATCTCTCTGTGAGCATAGCCTCTCCCGTATTCCTCGTGTCGGTTCCTCATGGGGCGTGTGTAGAGGAGAAATGGCGTCCTACATCCCGGTCTCTGGCAGCTTTGCCGTCTTCGGCACCCGATTCGTGTCGCCCGCCCTTGGCTTTACCCTGGGTGAGTGTCGGTTTGTGCCACGAGTCATCAGCAAAAGCGCATCAGGCAGAAACCAAGCTTCATATCACCACAAGGAGCCCTCAGATGGGGCAAGTTTTACTTGTTCTTTGCGGTTGTACCACTTCATACGAGGGCTCCTTGGTTTGATCGGTGTCATGCGCTTTTGCTGATGACTGTTTGTAATTTGCATTGTACGACGGCTCTTGAATACAACTATCCCGGACTAGGATGGAACTACTGGCTACAATGGTGAGTCCTCAGCTGGAGTGCCACTCAGGCGACCTCAACGGTGATGTATTACCCGTGCCAGGAGTCTCTCGATTCGTACGTGATCCTCTCCAACAGTACGGATATTGACTGAACCCCGCCTAGCAAGCGAGCTCACGGCTGCAGCTGTGATCCTGCAGGTATGCACCTCGCACAAATACCTTTTCTGACTAGCGTGCTCATTCTGCGTAGTTTTGGGACGCCCGCGTCCAGCCTTGGGAATGGGCACTCGTGATCATCGCGCCTGTCTTCCTCATGCAGCTGATCCACGTCCGTGTCTACGGTACGGCGTCGACCACGCTCTTTTCGCCTTATCCCTGATCTCTTCGGCTATCCCTAGGAGAGTCTGAATACTGGTTCGCCACCATCAAAGTAGTACTCATCATACTATTCATCATTGTCGGACTCATCTACGACTGGGGTGGCGTCCGCCATCACCCTGGGCCAGTGAGTCGTGTGCCTCTGATCACACATTGATACGCTCTCTGATAACTCTCACCCGTACCCAGGGCCTGGCAAACTTCCACAACGGCCAGGCCATCATCGGCGGCTTCTCCGCGCTCGCGCAGACCTTCGCTTACGCCTTCTACTCCTATGGCGGCGTCGAGCTCGTCTCGCTCGCCGCGGGCGAGTCTGCCGAGCCGCACCGTGCCGTCCCGCGCGCCGTTCGCGCGACCTTCGTGCGCATCGTGCTCTTCTACATTCTCACCATCCTCACGATTGGCCTCTGCATCAACTGGGACGACCCGACGCTCCTCAGCGCAGCCTACGGTGCGTCCACCCCATGTACTCCCGTGCATGTGTCACCCCACCAACGCTGACTGGCTCGTTTGACTGCGCACGGCAGACTCGGACGTGACCGCGTCCCCTGTGACGGTCGTCTTCGTGCGCGCCGGCTTCGGCGCCGCAGCGCACGTCGTCAACGCGGTGCTCCTCACCGCGGTGCTCTCCGCGACCAACTCGTGCTTCTACGCGAGCTCGCGCATGCTGCTCTCGCTCGCACGTACCGGGCACGCGCCCGCCGTCCTCGGCTACGTCAACCGCCGCGGCGTGCCCGTGCCCGCGCTCCTGTAAGCGTCCGCGCCGTTCCCCTGCCCTCTCGTCCATTCCGCTCACACCACGTGCCCCGCGATCGCCAGCGCCGCCCTCGCCGTCTCCTTCCTCTCCTTCCTCACCACGATCTGGGGCGCCGGCGTCGTCTTCACGTGGCTGCTCAACCTCACCGGCATCTCCGCGCTCCTCACCTGGGGCTCCATCGGGCCCATCTCGCTGCGCTTCCGCGCCGCCTGGCGCGCACAGCACCGCGCCCCGGACGACCTCCCCTACCACCAGCCGCTCTTCCCCGCACTCCCGCTGACGACGCTCGTGCTCGCGGTGCTCATGTTTGCCGCACAGGGCTACGCGGCGGTCGTGGAGCAGCCGTTCGACTGGCGGGTGCGTGTCCCGCCGTGTTGTTTCTCGAGTGTCGCAGGAGACCCTGACTTCGCGTGTGCCGGATAGAATGTCGTTGCGACGTACGTTGGCGTCGCGCTGTACGTGCTCCTGTATGCGGGATACTCGGCATACGAGTATTTCTGGGTCGGGCGGCGCACGCACTTCGTCCCGCTGGCCGAGGTCGACCTCGACACCGACGCAGTGTGGGCGCGCGGGCAGGGCGCCATTGTCCGTGAGCGCGAACGGGCAGAGGCGGAAGCCAAGAAGCTCGGGGAGCGGCAAAGTGGAATCAAATACTGGCTGGCGAGTATTAGGGAGCGTATGCCCTGAATTGTACGTAGCGTATGGTCCTTGTCCGATGTAGATGGTCTAGGCGCGGTAGGTCTACTTTTTATCAGCATAATCCCGGCCCTGGAGCCCACGCAACGTGCCCATCATCCGCATGAACGTCGTTGGCGACGCCGATGCGCCCTTCCCTGCAACGCCCAGGAAGGGCTTCAGACCGCCTCCCTGCAGCCCCACTCTGTACTCGCTCAGGTACTTCTGCACCGTCGCATCCTTCAGCCCGGTAAGCCGCACCACCTCGCTCAATCGGGCCTCGTCTTCGTGCGGGTCAGCCGCCGTGCACGCATCATACACCCCCAGAAGCGTCTGCCCGCGGCCATTCGCGGTGAGCAGGTGCGGGTGCACGAAATAGCGGTAGGGCAGTCCGACGAACACAACGCGCGGGTGCGCCAGCTGCTGCACGCCGTCCGCAGGAATGTCCGGGCTGGAGAGGTCGAGGCCGATGCGCGGCGAGCGGTATACCTGCGGTCGCGTAGCGGGGGCAGCGACGCGCCGCGTGAGCTGCAGTCTGCACGCCGCGGGGGCAGCCACCGAGAACGCGGAGATGTCGCCACCCCACTGAGTCGCGACAAGCTCCGCGATGCTCGCCGCGCCGCTTGCGCGGAGGACCTCGTCGACGAGGAGCGACGGCCCGGAGATGACCTTGGCGTCGGAAATGCGGCGGATGGTGCGCAGCAGCACGCCTCCGCGGATAGGCGGCTCGCACGGGGTGCTCTGCGCGGACGGGGCGAAGTATGGGGACGTGCGCACGGGCGGCGCGCCCATCGTCAGGTCAAGGCCTTTGCGCGTGCCGCCTCGATACCCGCTTGCAGCCGTTTGGGACACGGTCGGATCCTTGGATCTGCGCGGTGCGCGGTGGAAGTACCTGCCATGAGCCACCCATTTAACACGCGCATCGACTGGTAGACGTTGGGGCTATTGAATGCATACTAACCATTGCCCGCTGTATCTCTGTTCCTCACTGCCATGCGTGAATGGGTCATCATGCACGTCAGCAGCTTTCAAGTAGAACTCGACCTCGAGGATCTCGTAGTTGTTACGAGTGTCGTCTGAGATCACCAGGAGGTAGTATTCGTGCAGTAGTGCAGAAGCAATACATTCGAAGCGATGTGTTATGAGCGCGTCCGTCGACGCGGAGGTGAAATCAAGGAGGTCACTCAGCTCAGGCTCGTGTAAATTGTCAGAGCGTGGAGGATCTACGACGCTTAGCGAAGAGGACGCTGTACAAGACGGATGCTGTGTAATGTCTTCCGCGGATTGAGTGTTAGGTGGAGAGCGGGGATGTGCGATACTAGACTGATCAATTGCTCCTTCATTTGCGCTGTCTCCACCATTCGATACAATTGGTCCTGCATTTTCGTTTTCGTGGCCATTCTGTGTCACAAGAGTGTCCAAAGTTGACGTCTGCGGTCCAGCGCGAGCAGCTCGTTTTTGTGCATGGTCGCCGAAGTTCGCTGTATGGTTTGATCGCTTGCGTTTGGGCATAGTCCATGTGTGGTGTCCGAGAGAAAACTACTAGAATGCCAGCAGGACCACACAGCTTGAATACAACCAGCCTCTTCGGACCTCCGCAGGATATCGGCGCTGCGGAGCCGGCACAGGTCGAAGGAATTGTCTATCCGCTCTCAGGAGACTAATCGACGCGGCCGTTCGCAACTAGACAAATCATCCGGTCACGGTTTGTAGCAAAGTCATGTGCGCGTGACCGCACGCGTGTGGAGGGGGCGAGCTATTGGCAAGATCGCCATCGGGTTTCAATACGCGAGGTATTGGGGAAAAACAGAGCGACAGAGCACACCAATAAATCAGAAATAATACAATACATTATTGCTACAGAGAGCGAGGATAGCATGAACGATGTTACGAGGGATAGCCAACCAAGATGGGATTGATCGTTAAAATAAAGCAATATTGCCGCAGGGTAATGACAGAAATTTATGACATAGGATATGTCCCTGCAGAATCAAGGTTAACGCATGCCGAGTGCGAGGCACGAATAAAACGAACCTCTGACTCAATTTCTTGGACTGGCTCCGTTATTGCATTGCGCTGTCTGCTCCTATCGGGACAGTATCATGGACAACGACTGGTTCTGGGAGTGAATCTCCAGACTGTGGTTCATCCACGTCTATAGACACTTTGTCGATTGGCCTATCAGTTTTACCGTCCTCAACCTCCCTCGCCACAGATACGGAGGTAATTCCCGCCCCGGCACCTGCTGATGTGGATGTTTTGATCCGTCTATTCTGGCTGGGTTCCTCTGAGGCTGCGCGGACGGCTCGCGAGTGCGATAGAGGTATGAAAGGACTTGTTTCGGCAGGTGCCCGCTCTTCTTGAACCGACTCAAGCGAAGTGCGATGTCGTTCCCATGACCGGCTGCGGCCGAGCGCGGAGCTCGTTATAGGTGGTGCAGACGGATGTCGTCGTTTAGGAAGCTTCGCATCTTCGAGTGCTGGTAGAGCAGGGATTGATAGTGTTGTATCGGTTGACTTCTGAATAGAACTCGAAGCAAGATGACTCGGCCCTTCTTGTTGTACATTCTGTTCATGTAAAGATGTCGTGCGCGAGCGGTCCAAACCCTGTCTCCTTTCAGGTTCCATGCTCTGCCGTTGGCTGCCCGGGCCTAACGACGGCCGCCGCTCCTGTTCCTGAGCCGCCTGGTCCGCGAGCACGTCCAGCGCGCTGCGGACACGCATAAGGCCCGGCACCTGTACTCGCGCGATCTCCGAGTTCTTCGTTTGCTCCTCCTCTGTGGGGATTTTCTGCTTCCCTTTGCCTTTCTTGTTCTGCGGGGGCTGCGCACCGCTTTTCGTCTTGCGCGCTCGTGTGCCCAACGCAGACGTTGACGCCGCCCCGGATAGTGCCGACGCGCCTGTCCGGCGCCGCTTGGGCGCTGGGCTATCTGGGGCGGGAACCGTTGCTGTCCGCCTCAGTGAGGTACGTTTACCAACGACGGACGCATCGCCATCACCGTCGCCATCATAGTCCTCGTCTAGCATTCTACGTGCAGCACTCACAAGCGAATCCATCGGTGTCGTCGGCGCACTCAGCTGTCCTTTCCGTACTGGGGTATGACTCTGCGCCGCCTGCTCCTGGTGGTTCCTCGTCGGTGTTGTGGGGATGGGCCATCCGGGAGCAACGGTAGTTATCATGGAACCTCCTAGAGACGGACCAGCCATCAAGTGGGTGCTAGAGCCTGCGACAGGCACAGCCGAGTGCATGTAGACAAGGCCGGGATGAGGTATAGCGTAGGGCGCAACCGGTCCGGGGTGCGTCGTTTGCGCATGCAGGTGCCGTGGAGTGGACGGGGCATGCACTGTAGGATGGAGGTGCGAGGGGTGTACTTGAGATACAGTTGTTCCTGTGCTACGGTGAGCTATAGGCCCATCCGCGGGTGTGGAAACGAGAGGGGGCGTGACACGTTGTCCCGCATACGCAGGATGGCTTGACAGGCCCTGCATACCACCATCCCAAGGATATGGCCATGCCCCTTGAGCTTGCTGGGATCGCTGTCGCTCGCGTCCGTGCGCATCCAATGCGGCTCGCTCTGCTGCTTGCGCTTCCTCCTCTCGCTTCCGCCGCTCCCCCTCTTGTATTTGCAGTTCTCGCGCCTGCGCTGCCATCATCTCCCCTCGTGCGCGACCAATCTTCCTGGCCGCGATCAATAAGCACTCTGCACGCGCGTCCGAGAGCAGCGGTGTCCGACTATCTGCGGCCTTCCCTCTCCCCCTTTTGTCTTTTGTCTTTTTGCTTGGCTTCTCGTCGACTTTCGACACAGATGGACGTGAGATTAAAGTGCCATGTCCCAGAGAGCTGATAGCATTGCTCCCAACATCGGGACGGTGAAACGCGTGGTGTCCCTGCGAGTCAGTTTGTGGCTCGCTGACATCGTTGGAGAGGGCGTGTTCCTGTGGAATTTGGGCGAGGCCATACAGTGCACCCCCAGTGGCAGTGGGATCGACCTCCGTATCGATGTCGCCTTCCGCATCCATGTCGATGTCTGTTTCGGGCGGCGGGGGTACTGGGACCGATGTAGTATCCCTTTCTTTTTTTATTCGGTCCCGCTCTCTCTCCTTCTTAGTCCTCCGTTTTTTTGTTCCCGCCTGTTCTGCGGGCAACCCGAAGTGTTGCACGAATATCGGATCCTGGAGAAGAGAGGGATCTTGCAGGATGGCAGGCTGCATAAGGAGCAATGGACGAAGGCGTATGAGTTCAGTTTCAAGTACCGATATGCGGCTGTGGAGATCAGATATCTGTGATACGATAAGTCGTTAATATGAGCGAGACGTGCGATGGTGCCAGAAAGCATGAAGCATTAATAAACAGACCTTGTGTCGCAAGGCCGAATTGTCATCTTTTAAGCGAGCAATGATGCGTTCGGATTCCTACAGGTACGTTATGTGTTAGAATGAACGTAGCCCGATAGCTTGCGGATAGGTGTGAAGGCTGAACTAGATGTGCAAAAGCGACGGCGGGGTAAATATGTAATTCGAAAGCAAGAAAGCGATAAGCAAAAACACCAATACACCGACCTGCAAGCCATCAGGATGTGCTATCCACTCACGTAATCTTTCTCCGCCGCGTCGGTCACAGCACGTTGTCTGCCAATGAGAGCTTCAGCGCTTCTCTCCCATGCGTCGCGGTCGGCCTCCCAGCGAGCGTGTAGATCCTCTTTCTCCTGAAGAAGAAAACTGCGTTGTACTGTGAGAACTGCAATAGTCTCGGCTTGCGACGCTAATTGTGACGGTGAAGGCTGAAGGATAAGGCGGGATAGTAGACGTAGGATCTACAGTGTGCCACGCTAGAATTACGATAAGTGCCGCGCAGGATATATGGGGGCGTACCATTTCGGCGAGCTCCTTCTCTGTGAGAGTAGCTGACGATGGAGTACCACCAGGATCGGCAAGACCAAGTTGATGCAACCGAGAACGCATAGCTTCTACTTCGCTATCATCAAGAGGTTCTGGTGATTGCATTCGTAGCACAGAATCTCCCCCAAATTGTACAACAGAAGAATCAGCTTGTCTGTGAAAGGCCGTATAATTCGACGAGATATCCACGTTGGGCAAGCCCGCAGATTCCGCAGGGGGAGGCAATTGCGGAGCAGGAGAAGGTGACATGGGGTGCATGATGTCGGAAAGCTCAAGAACGGGGCCGTCAACGGCCTGCATGGCGGCAGCGAAGGAGATAGGGATGGGAGATGCTACGGCAACAGCGACGACGACTGCGACGCCGACGATGGCGTGGGCCACAAAGAATCCGAACAAACATCAGACAACAACGCCCTCACGCGCCCCGGGCACGTGCATGGAGGAATCGCGACTTTCCACGTGATGCGAATTGAAGACCAGATTCTCCGGGAGATCAGTTCAAGTTGCTAGTAGATCCTCTTCCTCAAGCTTTCAGAGACGTCTGCCGTTCATGAGGGCTATCATTTCGACAAAGCCAAAGTGGACTTGCTTGATTGTATGATCAAGATATGCGACTGCGGTAACGTCTCTCCGCCTTCCTCTATGGTTTTTGCGACTTCTTGCACGCAGTTGCATTGATGCGTAGGCGATCACCAGTGGGCGCAGTACTGAGAGGGCACTTTGGTGTTCACAACTGAGCTAAGTAGATGCTCCTCGATCGTCCTGCCCCGAGCCTGAGAAAATTGTTTACGGCGGAGATACGCCTATTTGCGGCGCCATTGACTTTGACGTGCGGATGTGCGGGATTTCCCTCAACCCATTGCCGTTCGTTCCGGGGTTCTTCATCCCCTCTCTCATGTTGCTCGAGTACAAATAGATTCATCGAGTTTGAATTCACGAGACGGCTCGCAAGCTGTTATCGCCCGCCCTCGTCCACCACATCGGAGTTTGATCTTGTCATTGCCCCTATTTCTCTCCAGCCCATCACCATACCGGCGCACCAGCTCCTTACATTCTTCTTTTCCCTCCCTAACATGCCATCCAATTTGCAACTCAGTGAGTATCGGCGCTTACCGGTGCTGAAAAATTTCACAGTATTGTATCACAGCCGAGGACGAGAAAGGCACACTCAAGTACATCAAACAAACGTTAAAATCGGAGGTCGATCATTTCTTTCGCAAGGTGTCCTTCAAGGATGACGAGCACTGTCTACTCCCCGATAGTCACATACCCCGGTACAATGAAGAGAAGAAGCATGTCGGCTGCCTTTATTACCTGTGCACAAGCGCTCGTCCGCCGCCTGGCTCAGGTCTGCTGGGGGATGTTTGGATAATCACTCAGCCAGGAGCAGAGTCTGTGCACTTTCGCGACAAGTCTGGTTGGGTTAAATGGCAACATAACAACCACGCCATGGACATGGCACATCCCCTTTTCAGAGACAGGCGTTTATGCCTCGGAACGAGAGGCCTAACATGGGTCACGCTCGGCAGCGTCCAGTCTGTCCGCCAACGATGGGTGGAATACAGGAACGTGAGGATGAGCGACTACCAGAATCTCCCGATCCCCGATATAGTAAAGGATGTCGTGAGGCTCAAATCAGCATCGTTGAGTTCACTTCCCGGTGTCAAAGCCCGTCCTATAGGTCTGTTCACCTTTCTACTCAACGTAGCTAAGGTCGAATCTAATTTGTTTTGTAGACGACAGCACGCGATTGAGCCCTCAAGGACAGCGACTTGAAACGCAATCTTCTCTGAAAGCAGCGCACACCCCATCAGGTATGCAGCATTGTACGGGTGTTATACCTATTATAGTTGAATTCTGATAACAGCCTTTCCGTTAGGCCGTACATCGTCATCACTTGAAGTGCCGAAACCCGTCATTGAACGTGCCTCGCCAACAATAGCAGCCGATACTAATGGTGCAATCCCTTCTGCAGCGCGAAGAAGCCTTGTGCCGCCATCTCGAGGGTCCGGTTCGCCCAAGCCTCCGGTCGCGAAAACGGCACGCAAGCCAGTACTCGACTCCGCCCCCGCCAAGAACATGATTGGTCCCCCCATCACCCCGCGCGGTTTAACGACTGCAGGCACCCTTCCCAATTTCAAGCTCAAGGCCGCGGGCAGTGCGGTGTCCACGCCTGCGTCGTCGCGACCTACAACTCCCCAGGATACGCTCTCTCAACCAGCATCGCCCACTATCCACGGTCTTTCGAACATGTTTTCGAACATGATGCCGCGCGCAGGATCGAGTAATGCTTCTTTGACGACGAATATCCAGCCATTATGTCTCCCTCCTTTCTACGCGTCAGGGTCAGAGCCTGCACGGCATGAGCAAGCTCGGATCCGACACCCGATACCAAGCTCGCACATTGTTCGCAACCCGCCACAGACATCTGCATCGCAATCACAGTCGGGTTCAAGTAAGCGCTTGTGTTCCGATCGCCTTTTGCCCACCACGTGCACAGCCGATTCGCGCAAGCGAGCAGCGTTCATAAAAGATGAAGGCCAGAGCATGACATCGCTGTCCCTTAGGGCGGATGCTTCGTCGGAGCGACCAGCAAAGCGTCTAAAGACAAATGGCCCCGCGCCTGTCTCCCCGTCACAATCAGCACGCGCTACATCTCCCATACATACTGGCGTAGCGGCGCCCGACTCGACCTCTTCCTCAGAACCTGCGAGTGCACCTGTGACCAACGCTCGACAGCCAAGCGATACAAAACCTGTATTGCTTGTTGTCCCAGTGCCGAAGCCACTGTTGAGTACACCCCCATCTCTGGCACCGAAGATTTTGCCTGATCCGCGTCACCGCCATCCGGAGTTCTGGCACATGGACGGATCGATCGTCCTCCAGGCGGAGAATATTTTGTTCAAGCTGCACCGCTCGCGTCTCATACAACACTCGCCACTGTTTGCCGCTGTCCTATCCGCGGAAAAAAAGAACAATAACGACGTTGAATTTAACTCCACCGACATTATCGCCGGTAACGGGGAGTTTCTTGACGGATGCGCGATCTTCAAGCTGATGCATGTGCTGGCGAGGGATTTCGAGAACCTTCTTCGAGCACTTGAGCGCGGATAGTGAGCGTGTAACGGTTGTGCTAGTTGTCCTCATGCTGACGAATCTTTGCCTCAGTGATTTCGTCGTTAAGCCTCCACCTTTCCCGGTGGTCGCTTCCATACTCCGTACTGCACATTCACTTTCCTTTGCGTCTATCTCGCAGTTCGCGACGCACGTTCTTGAGAACATGTGGCCAAACGACATCGCGCGCCTTTCTACGAAGCCCAAGTTGCATGCCGCCGAGGCGATTTTGCTTGCACAAGAGTGTAGAGTCTCTAGTGTGCTCAAACACGCATACTATGACTTACTTCGGACAAGAGCGTTTGGGGCGAGTATCCCGACTGTTAACGACGATATGTACCTCGATCAGTCGCCAAGGTCGGACACGTCTCCGAAGGCTCAGTTTTTGTGTTCAGACCAGTTGGTGCTCATGGTCGTCGTGCGTGAGCGTCTCCAGTCCGAGTGGATTCACATCATGCGTGGACCACCCAAGTTGTCGGCGTGCGCGCTCGAGCGCCGCCCTCCTACGGAACGCGAGCGCGTTGACGGCATGCGACAGCAACTCGAGCGCTGCAAAACTGCTACATCTAAAATGGCACGAGATTGGAGCATGCTACTGGCGAAGACGCGCGTATACGAAATAGGGTTGTTCGACATTCTCGGCGGCCTTGATCTTCTCCTGAACGAGAATTGGAGAGGTGCAGGATTCTGCCGAGGCTGCGTTGAAGCGCGAAAGATATGGACGGACAAGAAGCGGCAGATCTGGGATAACTTAGACGACTGGCTCGGATTATCTTCTGCCGATAACACTTGATTAGGACTTCGTGATTGAAGGCGTACTTTACAATAGATACCCCAGTTACTCACCATCATAATCTACCATAACATGTAGGTAGTTCTGTATTGTATGTATAAGTAATCCAAATTCGATGCTGATTTGTGAAATCAGCACCCACACAAGCGCTGATTTTGGCGAAACCTCACTTCAATCTGATCCCGTGTGCGCTCCTTCCCGGCTTATTCATTGACTAGCACCAGCTGCCACTCGCATTGCAGTCCAATTTAGCCGTGCATACAAGTGTACACCCGTAATGACACACGTACGTTGCTCGCTGTTCGGGATCAACCGCAGTCCAGAATGCCCCTATTTTCTGCTAGTGCGCTCAGCACGCGGGGACGTTTCCAACATATGCATACCTCATTCTATACTCATCTACCCCACTTCTGAACAGTCCGCCGAAGTGCTTGTCAAATCAATCGAATATATGACTTCTCTTCCGCTCGGCGATAGCCCTGGGACACAGGTCGTATCTGACGACAGTGAGGATGAAGTTGAATGGCTATCTAATGCCAATATCGACGAGGAAGTATCCAACCGATTTATGCAGCAAGCAATGGAGAAAATCCCGGAGGAATGCAACCGAATCAGTGGGTCAACATCGTTGAATAAGACAGGCAGACTCTTTAATGGTTGAATCTTTTCAGTCACTCAGTATGGTGCCCTTGAATACATCATGAGCGATGACCCGGTTCCTGTGCGCGCGTCGTTTCATCGCACAGCAAAGAACTGATCGGTATGATGGGCTCAGGTAGTGACGGGCGTCGCAGAGCCGAAAGGCTATTTGAAAAAAAGCGACGAGTTGAATATTGAGCGGTTTGGGACGGGCTTCCACCGTTTGTCTTTCCTCTATTCGCACTGAATTCTATCACTTCCTGACATCCCCATGCTTAGAAACTTCCCAAATACAAAGTCCCCTCACGAGTACAGGTCTTATACGACTCGGCAATAGTCAACTTATGCGCAGCATAGCAACATGGGATCGTTTCAAGGCCGATACCGCCCACCTATACGCTGCGGTGCTCCAGCGTGCTCAGACAGGCTCAGCGCACGGGAGAGTCGCAGAGTATTGAAGCCCTCCTCACGCGTCCGCTCTATGTCGGCATGTCCGTGCGGTACATTCTGCAGACAGCGCTTGCCGACGTCGCCCACAGGTCTAGGATTATTGAATTTCTCCAAGACGTCGAAGCGATGGATGCTAAATATGGACGATTTGGTATGCGCGAGCGTCGTGGACAGGTCATAGCGCAGGTCAAGAAGATCATGGACACGATTCAGTTAAGGACTATACGCGGGTTCATGCGTGCCTTGACGTTTCATCCAGACATAAAACCGACACTAGTCCATGTCGAGGTATATTCCACGCACTCCGCTGCATAGATATATTTCCAACATTCATCTAGAACTACACAGACTTTGCAGGAGGAATGAGCGAGCATGACATGAGCAAGTACCTCAACCTCGCTGAGGCCCTGAGAGAGAAGGGTACGCTTCGCGGAGTCTTCGCACGTCTACTGTGCAGAGTGTGGGGAGAGACTATCACCGACGAATACCTTCATGATATCTCCGATGCACTGGCATCCGCCAGTCCTGAGGAACGAGCGAAACTGAGTCCTGACATTTTGGATGCATGGGCAGAGGTTGAAATGGTCACCGTGAGTGACATCTTGCTAGGCGTCATTCCTACATGAACCGCTTGCGACTAGGACTATATTATCATGCTCGGCACCGATGGCGAAGATTGGCGGCGCGCTCCGGACGACCGCCGGTATCTAGAGCATTGGTCCCAGCTCGATCTCTCGATCAAAATTACGCAGGACTCAGTCATTGATAAGTATACAAAACCGCAGACAGTCTCAAGGCGGAGGGGACGTTAAAGAAAATATGGGCAGAACTAGACCGTTTCTCGATGAAGAAGGCGAAACAATCGTACGAAAAGGCATGTGAGAACCGCTGTACTTACCGGTACGGCATTGATTGTGTCATCAGGTCGTTAAATTTACGCGAATGACACCATCCTGGACGCACAACCCTGCGCTATTGCAAGAATCCTCTTCGAACTTGGAAGCTGGTAGTTCGCTTGATGTGGTTGTAGACGACAGAGCACCACAGCTAGCCCCTGCGCTCTCGAAAGCACAGAGAAAAAAGCTCAAGAAGCAGGAAAAGTTGGCCGCGCGCAACATAGAGGAAGAAGTGACTCGGAAATCCGCCGCCCTTCAGGTTGCAGAAGATCACAATAATTCAGCGGAAGGCGACCTGAAAGTACCTGTCTTAGCTCCGGCTGCAAGCGCGTCTTCACGCATCGTGAAACCTTACGCCGTGCCGAATATTCCAGAATCTATCCCAGATATTATGGCAACAAGAGGACCGAAGTTGAAGACTCGAGGCGTCGCCGATACTTCTAAGGCCTCAACGCGTACCACCATAGAAGAGGTACAACATCGAGTCATAGGACGGCTTCACGTACGTGCTATCTACCCAATCGGCAAATGCTACGAGACCATGGAGCGCTTGCTGGTGAGAAATCAAGGCTCGATGGATTGGGTTGACCTTGAGAAGGTAAGCGCCAATCTGGGAGTGTTTGGGCGAATCAGGTATTTTATCGCACCTTGTTCGTATATTCAAGTCTCGATTTGTATCAAATTTCATTCTCTCACTCATTCTCTGACGCTCAACAGCGTACGCGGAGGCGATCCCCATCGTCATTCATCGGTATGATTCTATACCTGACATGTCCATCTATTGTCTTGTTCTGAGCTCTTGTGGTAGCCAACATGGTAGTGAGATGGACCCTCAGAAAGTACGCAATGTGGGTGCAAGTCTTTATAATCACTACGGTTGGACCATAGACTGGTTCAGCGATTGCAAACCTGATCGACAGAGCAACGGATCATGAAATGTATTGTGAGTATTGTGCACCGAAACGAGAAACATTCGATGCCCCAGTCTTTACTGCAATGGTCCATAGGAGCAATAATCGCCACGGAAACTAGAGGTGTACCATGCTTGTAGGCCATGTAGCATCCCAGCTTGTCATGACATAGCGAACGAGTACGGTAATGTACGCTTGTTTCAGAACAATGTAATATAGACGCTGTTGTTGGGGCGATCGGCGTTGATATACCTTATTCTAAATCACAACGCGTGGTCACCGTGTATTTCGGCTGGCGCCTAGCCAAGAGACTTTCTCTTTGTCCTCCAAAGAAGTACAAAGGCGGTGTTTTCCCTACATATGCGTGTCTGTCCTCTCGATACTTGCTTCCTCACCTTTCCTGCCACCATAACCCGAGTCGTCTAGTGACTGACGCCTGTTGCTGGATGCATACAAAGCCTTTACGCTGTAAGGCACTCGATGAGCTCAGTGAGTAGTGCGTCGAAGACTACAATGTTCGGACTGTGACTATCTGCTTTATTCATAGACGAGGTTGATGCTGCTGCGATCGTCAGTTTCGAACAGCGCTTTAGCGTCAGCATCACGCCATTCGTCCAGATTTTGAATGTAGCTGCCCAGGACAAGCCGGAGACGCTTCCAGAGCGGTTCAGTTTTCGATATGACGCTCAAAGGCAGACTGTTGAGTGCCTCTATTACTTGTGCGACTCCGAAACTTGGAAGGGTGGGCCCGTGTTTGCCCTCGGGACCATTGGAGACGTCTTCATCAACAGGTCATCTCGCTGTGAGGCAATCTTTTTCAGGACTCTCGCCCCTCTCGCCGAACACACCAAGGAGAAATGGAAGCTTTGGGTCCATGACTCGCACATACCTGTCATGGGACATCCATTTCTTGCATCTCATTTTCTCGTCTTTGGGTTAGCCGGCCTCTATTGGACACATTCGAACGATATAGAAAGAAGGCGTCAGCGATGGGTAGCAGCTGCGCGAAATAACGTACGATATGAAAACTTGTTTCAGCCTGAAATCGTCGGATTTCTCAAAAAGATCCTCGATGCCCCTTCGTCGGGTTCACAACCCCAGTTCAGCGAGAATCCCAGAAGGGAGTCTACGTCGGTGAGAGCTGCCGGTGAAGCCCGTGAGTCTCATACCCTTTGTCGATGAAGCTTCAAAGCGTGTTGACTACCGCTTCTCCAATTACGCAGGGACCTTCACCATTCCAATTGGAGATACAGCCGTTACGGTTGTCCGCCCTCCTGTTGCAGACACTAGTACAAGGTTCTATACCCAGAAAGACTTCCCGGACTTCACGAAGAAAACACAACCAGTTCAGCGAAAGCAAGACGCGCCGGCAGTGTTATCCTGTTCAGACACCCCTTTGTCGTCAGGCTCACGTGCTCTGATACCGTCATCCAACGTTGAGGCGCCGAAGAGGCAAGGCCCTCATGCTTCGGCGTTGTGCCCGCCGACAGGGATCCAGCAGCGAGTGAATCTATCTCTGGATCATCAGCCATCCGCGAACGATGTCTACGCCGCAGTCCGTACTACAGATCCTCGCCTGAGGAAGCGAAGCGTTCTTCAGATAGATGCTAGGCCAGACGTTAATCAGCAACATATACAGATCTCACCCCGAAGATCAGAGAAACGTATGAAGACCAGTAATCCAATGACGCCGGTCCCACCGGTCCCGCCAGAAGTTCGTGCTCAAGACATGCCCACAAGGGATTCCACTGAGCCGATTCGACCAGTGCAGGCAACGGCTGTGCTTGCATCCCACCAACCATCAACCAACCAGACAACATGGAATGCAGCGATCGTGACAGAGAATCTCATGCATGATGATCTGTCAATAATGTTGCGAGTTCATGGCGAGTTGTTCAAATTTGACGCTCAACAACTAGCGCAAGAGTCGCGTTTGTGCCAGGCCGTGCTGTATCGACGAGAAAATGTCCAGCGTCCGCACACATCCAGAGATAACGATTATTCGTCCCTAATTGTAAGAAGCATCAGAAACGAAGTGATTAGCGGATGTCCCGTGTACGACATTTCGGAAGTTGCTTTGGAGGATTTCAAGATCTTGTCTCGAGTGTTGAAGCGTGGCTAGTAAGTCTTTTGCAAATCTAGACCCTTCATCGCTCTTACGTCAGAATCGATAGTGAGTTTATGGTGAACCCACCTGAGTTTCCCGTACTTGCTGCGTTGTTGCGCACTGCTCATACCTTGTCGTTTGATCGCATCACGAACATCGCTACGCACTTTCTCCAACGATTATGGCCAAATGACCCGTCAAGGGTGACATCCACGCGAAGGCCGTATGCTATCGAAACAGTCCTGCTTGCCGAAAGTTGCAATATACGCCGTCCTATGAAACATGCATACTATGAGGTCCTTCGCACGGAGACATTCGGTGTCGGTGAGAAATCAGCTGAGAACGACGATTTATACTTCCCCGCAAGTATCAGAGAGAAGACACCATCTCTTACCACAGATCAACTAGCGCGCCTGATCAAAGCTCGCGAATACCTCCTAGGAAAATGGAGCTCCTTCATGCATTCGGCCCCCGAGGTATTGATGCAGTGTGCTCAAGATCGTAGCGAACTACTGCAGACAGAAAACGTTCAGGCGAGGACTGAGCTAGAGCGCTGTAGGCTGGCTAGGACCAGGACCATAGGCTTTTGGCGCAATTTGACAGCTGGGATTGACGACGTCGGGCTCTATGATATCCTGGGAGGGCTCGACAGTCTCAAGGGCTTGTGCACTAAGCAAGGCGGACTGTGTAGAGGCTGCGCTCAGGTGGTCGGATCACATTGGGACGAGGTAAAGCTGGATGTTTGGAAGGATCTTGATATGTGGCTTCAGCTGGAGTAGGGTTAGCGGACTTAGCATAGGGTTAGGGGTCTGGTAGTGGAACAAAGGACATGGACTCATTCTTCCATCCACGACTGAAATTACATCCGCTAGATGCAATGAGGCAACCAGATAATGCAAGGCGGCCCCAAATATCACTCATAAAGTCCCCTCAGAAGCCCTGTATTCGAGATAACTCATCCGCGCATTAATTCTCTTCTACTGCCTCCAGTTGAGATGTTAATTAGCATTTTGAATACCCCTTATCATCCAAATACATCTTGACAACAGTATAGAAACCTCCTACTGCTGGGACCACTAGTATGAGAATGGTAAGCGAGAACAGTATCCTCAGATCTCTTTGAAAAAATAGAGCGACAAGGAGACCGCCCGACAACGTACTAGTGATAGGCCATGACACCATCCATGCCCGATCCGCTAGAGTACTGCTCTGAACTTTGAAGTGCGTCAGGATGAGCATAACGACATAAGGAGATGCAATGACCGCATTTGCAAACACGGCAGCGAGCACATAGTTGACAGCGACAAACCAATACATGGGGACGAAGGCGAGGCAATCACTCAGTTTAGGGTTCTCCAGGAAGGTAGAGGGATCCAACCCCTTAGGGAACCATAACGAATCCGGTAACGGGAGCGTTCGGTCGGTCATTGACGCAACACCAAACCGCAGAACGATATTGCTGGAAGAGGCCCCCGGATAGAACTTCAGTCTTCTAATGGCATCGTCAACACGGACTACAAGAGTCCGCAGCGCTGTGACTGGTTGCAAATCGTCTGTGTATTCCAGTGAGAGAAATGTAGCGGTGTATCCTTCCCTGATACATGGCTGGATTGAAGGATCACCGGAGATTTCTTCAGTAGACGGTAAGGGCCTCACCCTCCCAATCACTCCAGTGAAGGGCGCATCCTCGCGACATTCCGCCTCTTCTAGAATCGGCGTATGAAGGATGTACAGGCATGGCCATTCCCCAACTTGTCCGGCGTAAAGGAGGTTGATCAACGACATGATGGTATATGGGGTAACGGAAAGTCCATATGCAGCGTATCCGTAGCGCATCAGCTGATCGCTTCGCGAATTATAGAGCGTGAGGATGGCGGAGACCACTTGTATTATAGATAGAATTGCTTTCAGCCAGCTGGTCGGACGGTGCAACTTGATGCTGCTGACATCCTGCACGTTGGAAATCAGTATCTGCGGGAATGTCCATCCAGCATAGAAATGATGGATACAGCATGCGTAGTCATCGGGTAAGTTCAATTCCCCGAAGGTACCACCTTGAACGGAGTCGAACACATCAAATTCTTCACCTATGGATTCAACGTCTATGGTTGCGAGATAACCAGCCATATCTCTGTGGTGAGCAAATCGTCAGTGCCAGACAATCAAAAGTCGCGATCATTTGACGTACTCTTCAGACATGTCTAGGAATCCTTCCGGCAATTGTACGTACACAAGCTCTTCGCGATCTATAGGAGGCTCCCACAGCGACGTCCATGCTACGATAATCATTGCGCCGGAGAGCATAGCTACGCCTACGTCCCCCAAGACCAATGATGAACAGGACGCGGCCAGCATCATGAAAGCGGACCGAACCGCTCCGGAGAACGGTAAGAATAGCGCCAGAATAGGCGGCCAATAGATGCTGGTCTTGAACCAGGCTCCTAAAACCAGCCCCACAATCGCGTTCTTCGCTCCTACATCCGAGAGGCCAACTTAGTGTTATATACGAAAAAAGAAATCACGTGATTGATCCGAAAGCGAGAGCACGTGAGGAGTCAGAATAGCCGAATAAGAGGAGGACGAACACTATAGAGGGGCTGGCGCAACTGGTCGCCGAGTCATCCCCGAGCACTGAGGTTTCAGCGTCTAAATAACTATTCCGCGCTCCTAACCCTGACATAGGTCTTATTTTGTCTGGATCGCGGAGTAGCAATTCCAGCTGCAATTCGGCGCGCCCTGATCAGCCCGTTCACCGCAATTAGTTCTGCCGAGTATCTTTGGTGCAGGTCTCATGAGCTACACAACACTACATCGTGTTTAGATTAGGAGATGTTATATAGATCACAGCAACAGAATATGATTTGTTACAATGCCTCTCTCTTCGAACAATCTACAAGCAATTCTCTGGTGCTTGGAAGAAAATGGAACAACCATGCCTGAACTTCTGGTCTCCCTGCTACTCAGCGACGACGCGGCCTCTTGGTCAGCACGCGATGATATCACTCGACACATAAGCCCCATAATGCATATCCTTCATACAGCTCAGGCAACCCGTGCACCTTTGCAGGTGTGGGTGCACGAGACTGTGAAGAGTGTATATGTGAATGAAATTATCGCACTCACACAAATAAAGCCCGGGTTCCACTTTAATGCACGCCAAGCGACAGAACAGCAATTAGCTGGATTCAACTTGGAGAAGCTTTCCGAGACAATGCTCACCACAGTGCTGCACCTATGCGATCTATTGAGCAACTTGCTCGATGCCAACCCAGCGCTGAAACATCGGCGAGAGAGGCAGAGGCCAAAGCGACGCGCGAGGAGGATGAGAGCGGGATTGTCGTCAAATCCATGGCAATCAATGGAGGACGTAGGGGAGTACGACGCGGATATGGCAGAGACGGAGACGTGGCCACGCGAGGCCGTGCAAAATGCTGGTGCGAACGATGCTGTTGCGAGCGACTCAGACCACGAGTTCTGGGCTGCTTTTCCCGAGCCTGATCCTGCCCTAGTTGGAGACTATGACGATGTTGAGATGGACGGCAATCGTCGTTCGGAGGAAGTGAGAGGGGCGGCAGCTGAAGGAGAGGACAGCGAGGATGAGTACTGGGACAATGAATTCAATGCTTTCTTACCTGAGGATACTGAGGATCCAGAGAGCGAGAAGGATGAGTTTAGTATGAACGAAAGCAGGAAGCGCGTACTCACAATGGTACGATTCATTTCCTCGCACTATTCCACACATACAACCTGACTCGTGTGGGCAGAAGCGGATGCTCTGCATTAGTATCATGCTACAGAACATGCATCAGTGCTGCAATGCGCTACAGGGTGTTATAGGCATCTTTCTCCACGCCTGCAATGCACCTGAGTCGATCATCGAGCTCCTCTCGTGCATAGGAGTCTCTATCTCGCAAACAGCTATTCGAGACGCCATAACGAGCCTGTCGAAAGAGTCAGCCGTCGCCCTCAAACAGCTTGGGCGTACATTGCTGGCTGGCTTCACATTCAATAATTTTGATATCGAGATCAAGCAAGCTACACCCACCATAGAGAAGCCTTATAATGCGCTACTTCATTTGACATCCAGCACCCTTCTGCGACTAGATCATGGCGTCTCATTGAATGATTTGCAGTGCTCCGATGCTTTGTGGCAACAGTCACCGAACAATCCTGCCAACTTCAAATTGAACAGCGCGATTGATTGGACAGAATTCGTCAACTTACATCCTGACGAACCAGATGTGATTGGATTCACTCGGCATCAGCGCTTCCATTGTTGGAAGTTCCTGTATGACTTGGTGCACCACGGACCTGAGTACTTCCGAAGATTCACTGGTGTGCTGGGCGATGCAGAGACGGTGGAGGAGATCCCTTGCGTTCAGTCAAAGCAGGTTCCGGCGAGAGCAATGGATATCAATCAGTCGACCGTGAAAGGAAATGCAGACGCACTTTCCAATCTGTTTGCACAAGGCGGGATTGGGGATCCCACGGACATGCCAGGCTGTCGAGACATTGGAGACCACGTTATCTTGGTCCATGGGGACCTTGCAACCTGTGAGCGTGTTCAGAGCGTTCAACGTTCACGCAGAGAAGAAAAAACACCTTTCAATCGCTACCAGTCTGTTGTCTTCATCATGGGCCTCTTCCACCTCAAGATGGCATGCACTGACACGATATGGAAGATCTTCATACAGCCGAAAGCAGCGCAAGAAGATGATACAAGCCTCTTGAGACAGGTCAGGGAGATCAGAATCAAAGAGAGCGCCAAGGTCGCCAGTAAACCCGGATTTCGTCGCATGCACGAGGTCATACAGCACGTCAGTATTGTCTCATGCCTTGACTGCTGGGCACAGGAGGTCGGTGACGAAAATCGTGCAATGGACAGCCTCGAAGCTTGGGCGCAGTCGCGTCCCTCTTGGGATGATCTTGTCAGTGTCGCGACAAGACTTGTGACCAAATATGTTGCGGGTCCGGAATTCTCGGAGCTACAGTATCAGTCGCCAGAAGTTCGTGATCAGCAGTGGGAGAATACACTTCTCAGAGAGCAGTACTTCTTGCTCTATGAGGAGGTATCTTACACTATGAATGCCGGAGATATAGGTCACGTCGAGGACTGTTTTCTTCCTTGGATTTTCATCTTTAGGGGATGTGGCAAACACAAGTATGCGACACAGATGTTGCGATTTTTGCACGACATTCATTTCGTCTACCCTGCAGGATTGAAGTATGATAAGTCTTTGGCCTACTCAAGTATATGTCGCTCACCTTATTTACAGACGAGCAATCCGCATGAACATATTGTGTAATCCAACCGGCCGGAAGAACACTTTCCGGGCGATAGACTGGTGGGTTGAGCATAACAATCTATACATCAAGGTATGCAATCTAAAATACGCTGATGCGATCTACGAAACCCTAACCCCTAACCTGGGTACGACCTAAAAGGAGCTAGAGGCGGGTTATTGTTTTAGTGAGAGGGGAGTTAGCAGCAAGGTGTCCCGCGGTTCGAGTGAACACGAGAAACACCCTTGGAAAAGGCTATGAACACTAGGGAAGGTACGAGGTGGCTCGACACATCGTCGAGGCTACTCGGAGGCTGTGGGTAGTTAGCGGGGGTCGGTAGAGATGATCGAAGCTCGGCAGAGCTCTTCAATGTATCGTAGAGGGAAGAGACACGATTCGAAAGGGTGGACTTAGCTAGGACGCGGTTCGAGATGCAACGCAGTTCTTCGACAATAGCCGAAGTCGAAAGGTTCGTCGAGACGGTATTGACGAGTAAACGCAGTGGACGAGGTTTCAAGATTACGCAGCGAAGAACGAAGTGACGCAGTTAAGGGCTTAGACGCAGGGCGAACTCGACTTATGAGCTCTGAATGAAACATTTGTCTTTCCGTTCTATTCCTTGTACTACTAGCGCCCATACTGGCGCCTGTCTTAGTGCTCACCCGCAGGTTGAACATTATGTAGCTTACATAATGGGGTCCGTGCGCACTTCGTGCCTGGTATCGTATCACTACGTTTCTTTCTTCACTAACACGACCACATAGACACGATGGTCCGTGCGCAGTCGGTACTTGTATAAGTAGTTGTACCATTAGTTGGTCGAACCCTAAGTTCGACCTGGTTATTCATTCAAGTCTCTGCTCCTCTTCGCTTGGAGTAGTGGTCATTCTCGACTTCCTCGCTCGATCTTCAGGACGACGCACTGTCCATAAGTCCTCGCTCGTCGTCTACGAGTCAGGCATCAATATAGGAGTATAGACCGTTGTATCAAAAGGTCGAACTTTCTAAGCTACGTTCCTAGTTTCACCTAGTCGAACAACTCATCCACCATCACGTCGAACAACGCAGTAAACCCGGTTCCCTTGGGACTACCAGCCCTCGCAGGATCTCCCCTTCTCCAGTACGACCGAGCAGACCGTTGCTTCATCACCACCACAAGAAGGACTCCCATCTATCCTCGAGGCGGCTCCTGGGTTCGCGCAGAAGGTTCCAACCCGCAGATCGTTGCCCATCAACAGCTTGTCAGCTATTACCAGAGACACCCTCCCGCTCACCCAGAAGATGTATTCACCATCCTACGAATCAACGTCGAACCAGCACAAACAACAGAGAACCTACAGTCACCTGTTAACGAACAACCGTTCGAGCTCCCGGACGTTCAGTACGTTCCCATCGAGGCTCCAGAACTACCACCAGCTCCACCTGCACCAACCAACGCACCGGTTGAAGTTCCTATGGCAACGTTCACTCAAGCAGACATTGATCAGCGCATCGCTGTTGCCCTCGCAGCATACCAATCCCAACAGTCAACTGCCAACCGACCCCTTCGCCTTGACATCCCCGCTCCCGAACCTTTCAGCGGAAAGGCGGAGGACCTCAGACGCTTCATCCAATGCATCCTCTCCTACTTCGTCGCCACCAACAACACCAGACTTAGCGATGAAGCAAAGATTGCCTTCACTGTAGCGTTGATGAGGAAGGACCTAGGGAAGACATGGGCAGACGCATACTACGAGAAGTCGGCAGGGGGAGTCCAGGTCTATCCCGATTGGGCAGCCTTCGCCACTGCCCTTGAGGAAGTGTTTCCCGAGCACGGAACGCGAATCAAGGCGCACCAAATCCTGATGAAGCTGCCCGAACGACAGAAGAACAAGAAGACGGCGCTCTCCCTCGGAAACTACGTCACCCGCTTTGAGCAGCTAGCATCGAAAGCCCAGCTCAAGGACGCCGAAGTCAATGGCGTCAACCGCACCGAGAACGACTACCACACTCTCCACGCCAACTTCATCAAAGGACTTCCGAAGGAGCTCTACGTCTCTCTCGCAACTAGGGTCGCTAGAGACTGACCCAACACCATGAAAGCCTGGTACGACGAAGTCCGAAATGCCGACGCCGCCGAACAAGGGGCCCTCACCGTCACAGACACCAGGGACTACAGCGAGCCAATGGATATCGACGCCGCTGCAGTCGCAGCAACCCTTGCCTCCACGTCGGGAGGAAGGAAGTGGGAACTAGGGGCAGTTCTCAACGAGGCCGACCGGAAGCTCCACAGGGATGGGAACCTGTGCTTCTACTGCCACATCAAGGGCCACAGCGCCAAGGATTGCCGAAAGAAAGTGGCCGCACGACAAGGGGGTGGGAGGCCGAACCAGGGAGGATCGGGGAAGGACGACTTCCGTGCCAGAATCAAGGCACTCTCCGCCGACGAGAAGCGGGAGCTGTATGAAGAACTTACGATGGAGGATTTTTGAAGGGGCAGGGTGAGCCGACGCAACCACTGCCCGTATCCGTTTCACTGTCCCGTGTAATTCTAGTAGTCCGAAATGAACACGCTCTGCACATTCCGATTACTGTGGGACAAAAAGACATTAAGGTGCGCGCTTTTATTGATAGCAGCGCAACAGGAATCTTCATCAGCCCGAGATTCATCCAAGAGCATCAACTTCGGACAGAACCTCTTCCCCGACCCATCCCCGTCTTCAACGTGGATGGAACACCGAACAAAGAAGCACTCATCACGCGAAGAGCTCTCTTATCCTACAAGATAAGCGGAGAACCCCGATTCGTCAAAGCCTACATCGCCAGCATCGGCAAGGAAGACATCATCTTCGGCCATACCTGGCTCAAGCT